TGGGGGGATCAGGGACTGCAGCTCCCAGGATGGGCCACCGGAGGGCGACCTCAAGGGGGAAGGTTTGGCCCCATGGGGGGATCAGGGACTGCAGCTCCCAGGATGGGCCACCGGAGGGCGGCCTCAAGGAGGAAGGTTTGGCCCATTGATGGGATCAGGGACTGCAGCTCCCAGGATGGGCCACCGGAGGGCGGCCTCAAGGAGGAAGGTTTGGCCCCATGGGGGGATCAGGGAGTGCAGCTCCCAGGATGGGCCACCAGAGGGCGGCCTCAAGGGGGAAAGTTTGGCCCTTTGATGGGATCAGGGACTGCAGCTCCCAGGAAGGGCCACCGGAGGGCGGACTCAAGGGAGAAGGTTTGGCCCCATGGTGGGATCAGGGAGTGCAGCTCCCAGGATGGGCCACCGGAGAGGGGTCTCAAGGGGGAAGGTTTGGCCCCATGGTGGGATCGGGGACTGCAGCTCCCAGGATGGGCCACCAGAGGGCGGCCTCAAGGGGGAAGGTTTGGCCCCATGGTGGGATCGGGGACTGCAGCTCCCAGGATGGGCCACCAAAGGGCGGCCTCAAGGGGGAAGGTTTGGCCCCATGGGGGGGATCAGGGAGTGCAGCTCCCAGGATGGGCCACCGGAGGGCGGCCTCAAGGGGAAGGTTTGGCCCATTGACGGGATGCTGCCCCCACACGGCAGAGCTCATGGCTTCATTGCAGTACGCAAGCCCCTTTGCAGTGACAAGGCCGTGACCCATGAAGGGGCCCTTTTAACTAGGAGAGCACCAACCCAACCAGCATCTTCCGCATACCCGTGGAAAGGAGGCGCAGAAGGATTCTGCTCCCTGGGACCAATCCGGATCGCCCCACCAAGGGCTGTCGTGGAGTGACGCCTGTCCAGAGCGAAGGCTTTTCCCAGACCCCATCCTGAATTAGGTTGACCACCTCTAGGAAACTTCAAGGGTTTGGGCTGCATAGAAGATGCATTTGTAAACCCCAAATTTGACACTGAAAAACTGCTTTACAGAACTGCTTTCCATTAGTTTTAGATCAAAGCAATTTGTTCCGGTGTTAGTGACGACCTATAAGGCCCTAAATACCTGAAGGAGCACCCCTTGAGATCTGAGGTGGGGGTCCTTCTTCGGGAGGAGGGTAGCTACTCGGAAAAGGGCCCTTTTGGCGGTGGTGCTCTGCCTCTGGAATTCACTTCCCAGGGAGGTGACCTGGATTGTCAGTGTATTCTTTCCAGCGTCGGGCAAAGACCTTTTTATTCTCCTGGTATTTGAACAATTGGTTTCGTCCTTGATTTTACTATTTTAGATGCAGTGTGCTTCGTGTTACGGTTTTGTTCTTTGCTTTCTGTTCCCTAAAAGCCATCCAGAGAGTTTTTAAGTAATGGACGGCACAGAAAAATTTTAAATTAATATATATTTTACTCATTTTGCTGTGCATGATAGTGTTTTCGCACTTTCTGCTGCAGATCATGTATTAGTTTCACAATGCACCAGTCATTTCATGCTTTTAATATTTTCTGAGATGCCGCTTGCACCACTGTGCCATTTGAAAAACAAAGTTCACCCCCAACACACACACCCTTGCCTTGGCAGCTCCATGATAAGGAAAGAAACACAAATCCAAACTGTGTTTGGCAATAACGTACTGCATTTGGGCCACGCGCCTCAAAGGAAAGCTCAAGTTGGGAGTTCTTCAGAAAACTCCGTCGCAGTTCTCCAACTTGGAGCCTTCCAGGTGTGCTAGATACGCCAACTACCAATTGCCATGGTTGGCTGGGAATGATGAGCCTTGTAGTCCAACACGTTCTGGAAGGCAGCAGGTGGTGAGGAAGGGCTATGAATAAAGAGCACAGTGGTATCTCTGCTCACAAATGCCTCAGTTCACAACCGAACCGGATTGCGAACAGAAATTTCTGAAAAATTTTGCATCAGGCCGCGAACTCCATCAGGTGCCGATCGGCCCGTCTCCCCCGAGCATGCCCACAATCGCACCCATCTGTGGCCGCAATCACGGTGGCGCTTGTGCAGGGACGGCGGGCACGATCACGGCTGTGCTGGGGGGGCGGGGGGAGATGGCTGCGGTCTTTGCTGTCACTTTGCTTCACGTTTTTGTGATTAAGAAAGTTGCAGAACGAGTTAACCTTATTTACATTGACCCTTCTGGGGAAATTTGACTTGGCTCGCGACCAGAATCGTGGAACGGATTAAGTTCGTGCGCCCAGGTACCGCCGTACCTTCCTCTGAGGTGAGAATGGCAAGTTCAGCACCGCTCTGCCCCGCAAGCACAGAGCCTCTGCTACTTTTTCTCCTTGCCTTCCTCTAAAGCACAGCTTGATAGTCAGGGCTGCTTGGATGTATTTCACCAAATTATTTGGACGTCTGACAGCGCCACCCTGTAGCCTACTTGGAAGACCCTCTGAATTTTACTCTTGGGTAAAATGCAGACAAGATCGTAGACTTAAGATGTGTCCACTCTGAAGTCCCACTGCTTTCACAAAAATTCCCCTTGTTTTAATGTTCGTAATGTCATTTTGCAAGGTTCTGTTGGACTCAAATGAATCCCTGTAATTCAGTTGGGCTTGCCTTAACCCAAGTGGGAAGGCGGGTTGCATTAAGTGCAGCTGCTTCTTACTTGCTCAGGTGAGGGGAAAAGCCACCTGGGTTGCTCCAGGTATTCTGGACTACGATTCCCACCTGCCCCACATCATATGCCCCCAGTCAGAGAGTAGGAGAAGTCGACCAAACCATCTGGCATGCAGTGCCATCACCCAATGGGCCACTTGCCTAGAGACCCTCTAGAACGGGGGGGCCAGTTCACTGTCCCTCAGACTGTTGTGGGGCTGGATAGTTCAAAAAAAAATGAATTTCAATGCAGTGCATATTAAAAATGAATTAAAATTAAAATGAATTAAAAATTTTAAAAATAATTAAAAAATAAACATGTTTGCTCGGCTTGCTTGGGCTGCAGCAGAAGCCCAAGATGAGGTTGGGAAGAGCAGGTCCCTATTCAAGGGACAGAGCTACAGTGTCCGCGATCGTGCTGTGGGGTGGGGGCAAAGACAGGCGCGATGTTGTTCCTGCAGGGAAGGCGGGCGCGATAGCCGCCATCTCCCCACCCCAGCACAACTGTGATCCCGCCCACCTTCCCTGGGCGACCTCGATCGTGGCCATCTCCCCACTGAGCACGCCTGCGCCGGCTCAGCGCTTGACTCGCTCGGAGATCGTTTTCTCTGAGCGAGTCCAAATGCTCGGACACAGGCCAGATAAATCAGCATGGCGGGCTGGATCCTGCCTGCGGGCTGTAGCTGGAGGACCCCTGCTCTACAACAGGGATCCTCAAACTCTTTGAACAGGGGGCAAGGCGGAAACGGGGAAGGGAGGGGTTGCAGGGCGAGGCACCAGTTTGCAGACACGAGATCGTTTCCAGGCGAGTCCAAACTGATGTTCTTGTGGGCAAGCAGCCACCAGGCATGCACACAGGGAAACGACCTCCTCGCAAGCAAGCCCCATGGGCGCCTGGTGAGAGCAAGACCTGTGAAGTGGGCCGGTGAAAAGGGCACGGCAGGCCGGATCCGGTCCGTGGGCCTTAGTTTGAGGACCCATGCACTAGAGTATCTTTCCCAGAGTTGATGCTCCTCAGATGTCTTGGGACTACAGCTCCCAGCATCCTGCACAAGCCTCGCTGCTGTTGCTGCTGCTCTCCTTTTCAGGAATGGGTAGAAGAGACCACATCCCTGGAAGGGTGGCAGGAATCGCCAGAGCCTTGCGCCTCCTTGCAGTTTAATCAATAAACAGCAGCAAACCACCAGCCATCCGTGTCTACTCGGAGCAAAAACCATGCGGTATTTGGCCAGCGTATTCTCATGGTCACACGGCACCCTTCCTGCGGAGGGTAGAGAATAAAACCAATACATTTCTCTTGCTCCAGCTGGAGTCTGGCACGCCACCAGCACCTTTAGCCCAGCCTGGTGCCTGCTCAGGGCAGGGGACATCCACCTGCAGCGTGCCTGGGCACCTGCCAGAAGCAGAGCCGCACACCTGGCAGACAAAGGTTGGGCTCCGGGCAGGAGCAGAGGAGGGTGGAAGGCAGGCCGGGCCCAGAAGCGACGCCGGGAAGACTCAGGCCCTCCTCATGGAGCACTCAGTACGAGGACAATGAAGAGGTGGAGACAGGCTTCCTTGGAGCATGGAAATTTTAATTCATGAGGAGGAAAATGACTTTCCTGCGGACATGATCAAGCCCTTCGCTGGCATCAAGCCGATCCAGAGAAGGGAGAGAGGGAGATTCGGCCGTGCTCCTCATTTGACCTTCTTCTTCGGGCGCAGGTTGTTGGTGTGGCCACACTTCTTCTTGCGGCAGTTGACGGCACGGGGGTGCAGGCGGGCGTAGCACCTGGATGGGGAGACATGAGGCTCAGGAGAGCCAACCCGACCGGCTTCCCTTCAGGGGACTGCTCTGCAGGGCAGCCTGGTTTGCCAGCACAAAGCAGGCTGAGGAAGCCCTGCAAGGGATTCTGGGTATGAGCTCCAGCTCTAGCAACGGGGGAGGGGGGGGACAGCCGCAGGGGTACCCCTGCACCCCCCAAAAGTGGCACGGCCGCAGCCCCCAACCATGCCGGCCACCTGGAGCTGCAAGCAGGAGGCCCTTTGTTGCTTCTGGAATGGGGGCAGCTGCAGAAACGCTGGGAAGGGTCGGCAACTTGGCCCCAGAGGAGAGCTCACCACAAACACCTCCAGGCCCAACCCCCCACCCTGCTGAGCCGGAGCCTCTGCCCCATGCTGGGTGGGACAGTCCGCCCGCGGCCAGCCACCCCCACCCCCAACGCAGCCCCACGTACTTGCGGCAGATCATCTTGTCGCAGTTGAACTTCTGGGCGAGCTGTCGGAGGGACGGCTCGATGATGCCTCCGCGGAGACGCAGCACCAGGTGGAGGGTGGACTCTGCCGAGGAGAGAGGCAGGAGCTGCCTGAATCGGCCTGCTGTGGCGCCCTGAGCGGCAGAGGCGTTTCTGCCCACCCGGAGACCCAACTTGAGGGGGGGCGCCAACCCCCGGGGGACTGTGATGATTCGGGAACGTGGACTGCAAACGGCGTGCTGCCCGAAGGCTCCCGACTCGGGCAAGAGACAGGATACTGCCTCAAGCTGACCCAGCCACGGGAGCACCTGCTCTGCGATTGACCTGCTGTTCTTTCTACCTCGTTTTCAAGCTTCTCGTATCTTTCTCCTCTGATCCTGCATCCGGGAAACGCACACCAGTGGAGACTGCCATCCCCCGCTCTACCCTTTATCCTCACAAGCCTGAGAAGAAATGGTCACCGGCTCAGGGGGGGTGAGATGTACAGTCCCAGAGGACTGGAGGGTGGCAGGTTAGGGATGGCTGGCCTGGCCTAAGCCCCCTTCTGCAGCCAGGACACACTGCGCAGGCACCCGCAGACCGCAGAGGGCACTCTGGACCGCGAGTCCCACTGGCCCTGACCCAGCTGCTCTTTCTTCATTGAACTGCAAGGAGGGCCCACGGCTAGAGGGAAAGACAGGAAGAGAACTGCTCCTCATGTTCTGTCTCCTTATGGCTGTCAAAAGCGAGGCGCCACATGGGAAACTGGGCATGACCAACTGGCAGGGCCACTTCTGCCTCTGAGACCGCAGTCGCTCCGCCTCAGAACCGTACCTTTCTGGATGTTGTAGTCCGAAAGAGTTCGCCCATCCTCCAGCTGCTTCCCTGCGAAAATCAGACGCTGCTGGTCGGGAGGGATGCCTGTGAAACAGAGATTTTTCACGAGGGTCAGCATGTGATACTGGGAGGGGGGGGGGGGGAAGCAGCTGCCACTGGACTTAAACATTCTGCTGCCAGCCTTGCCCGATGTGAAGGGCTTCAGGGGGGTTAGATTTCATTCCCGGCATCCTCCAGCCACAGTGAGGAACCAGGACTGACGGATGCTGCAGCCTGGAGAGCAGCAGGCCGAGGAAGGCAGGTCTGGTGGCAACAGTTTGGCCACAACACTCTACAACATAGTGCAGCACAACCCGGGGGGGGGGGTCCTTTTCTGACAATATATGTGGTCATTTTATGTATTTGCTATTAATGGACACATTAAGGTCCGAGGAAAAAAATGGAAAAGACTGTTCCCCTGACACACTTTTAAATAAACCTTTGCCCAGAATGTTTCCATCTTTCCCACTCTTCCATGTGCCTGTTTATTACATTTATATTCCATCTTTTCCCTCTTGCATGGAACTGAAGGTGGCTTAAATGCCCCTCCATTTTTGTGAGGCAGGTGACTTTTCAAGCTTTCAATGGGGGCCTGAACCTGAAGCATCCGAGTCCTGCTCCGATCTTTTAACTAGGTCCCCTTGGGCCAAATCAAGTTATCAGAAAAGGTTCAGAAAGTACCACACAACCCGGGGCTCATTAACTCCCCAACAGCAGGATCATCCCCCCAGAAGTTTAAGTTCTGCTAGCAAGGTTCTGTTTTGAATGTCAGCAAAAGGGGGAACCAGTCTCAACCCCCACCAACAGCAGGGCCCTTCTGGTGGCAGTCCCTGAACTTCAGCAAAACTCAAGTTTTGCTCCTTGATGCAAGTGGCTCATTTGGAAGGCACTGGCGTTCGGGGTTGACATACCTTCTTTATCCTGGATCTTTGCTTTGACATTCTCAATGGTGTCACTGGGCTCTACCTCAAGGGTGATGGTTTTGCCAGTCAGGGTCTTCACGAAGATCTGCATCTTGGCAGCCGAGTGTTACCTGGCGGAAGAGACATGTGAGGAGAACAGTATCCTTACCTCCATTTTACAGGAAAAGCTGGTGCTGATTGAAATGTGGGGCTTTATACTACGGGGCTAAACTATCTCTTATTTTATGCAATGGGGGCAGCGGCAATGTGGCACTCCTGCATTCCGGTCTTTAACTCCCAACAGCACAAGCAAGAGTGAGGGCTCATGGGAGTTGTAGGCCAAAACACCTAGGGGGCCACGAGTTGAGTAAGCATCCCATGATTCACTGTGTGTGCTTAGGAAGAGCTAATATAATAGATATTAACTATCCTATTGCAATGTATCTTCATTTATTAACCGCAAGTGACCACTGGTGTTTCCCAAAAAAGGCAGTACTTAGACTGTCTCTCTATGTATTTCTATATATTTACACAAGCAGCTACACATAATAGTGCGCACATCTAGACTTCTAGATAAGCTCATTCACCTACTGAAAAATCTCTCCATTATATGTAAGGTAGATTTTATACAAAAAAATCTAATTTTCCCAATTAAATTTATACATATCAGTATATCAACACATCACTTCTGTCTCCCAAGAGCTCTTTCTGTACATATATCTACATACATGAACTATAAAGGTTTCTCATGCACAAGAGACACACAGTCACAAGTCTTCCTCCATGTGCTACAGCAGAGAAATTCAATCTCTCTGGATAAAGTGCTCTCACATGGACCTCTCAGCCCCAGTCTATCTCTAGATCCACCTCTGTTCCCATCTATTTATATACCACGTGCTTTAATTACATATTTATACGTTTTCATGTAATATTTAGGTACCATAATTAAGTGCAATATAAAATTGCAAGTCAGCCCTTCCAGACTACAGATCGTTACTCTCCCTTTCTTTCACACATGCCACCATCCCCAACTGCGCATATTTTACATGCGAGGTAATTTTATCCAGTGAGAAAGCGAAAACTGTCTGGGCTGCAACCTATATAGCTTCCGATCTATACCGTACACGGCATATCCCTCGCTGCCCACGCTTTATCCGTCCCGGCGCCAAGCCAAAGCCTTTTTATTCTCCCAGGTTTTCATCCAGCATGTATTTCAACTAGTTGGCCGCAAGTACTGGCACTTAGGATCCCTTTTTAACCTACCTTACGATCGTGCTAACGGTTTTAACATATATTTTGCATTTTTGTCTTTCTTACGCCAAGCCTCCTGACAGCCTACAATAATTTGACAATACTCGCTGAATTACAATAACCGGACGCGATCGAAGGCATTTAAAGAAATAGGGATCGCGACCGGGATCGCGCGCGCCTGTCAGGGCCGCCCGGGGCTTCCGCGCTCGGCGCCGCGTGGAGCCCGCGACCGGGGGGGGGGGGGGGGGCGGCGGGGGGCGGGCGAGCGGGGACCGGGCCCGGGCAGGCCTCGTCGTGGGCCCCGAGCGGAGCCGAGCCCCCCGCCGCCGCCGCCGATCCAGCCCCGGGAGGGGACCCAGGCGTCCGAGGCGCGGCGCGGCGCGGCCCGCCACCCACCTTCCACGCGCGTCCAGCGGCCTGTCCTCGCCGAGCGGAAAGAGCGAGCCTCGGCCGGAAGCGGAAATAAAGGCCACTTCCGGCCGGCCCCCGACACGTCACAGGCGTCGCCAGGGCGAGCGTGGTCCAGCCCCTCCGCGCGAAGGCCCCGCCCGCTCCTGCGGCCCGCAGAGATACGCACGCGCGTTGGGGAGGCGTCCCCTGGCTGGGGGCGGGGCGTTTCCGAGGCTGCCTGGGCGGGGGGAGGAAATGCCGCTGGCAGCCCCCATCATCCCCAGCCAGCCTGGCCGTTGTTCCGGCTGGGTGCCTGGGACTGCCGTTCCCGCTTTCCCCAGCCAGCGTGGCTGCTGCTCTGCCCTGCCCTGCCCTCCCGGGTGTCGAGTCCAGCAGGCAGGGCGCCGATGCTCTCCGCGTGCGCTGCACTGCAGTTCCCATCAGCCACAGCTAGCCCGGCTGTCTCCTGCCCCCCCGACGCACGGGGCTGCAGCTCGCTTTCCCCGCCGGGAACCGCCCCGCCCTGCGCGGTACCGCAGTTCCCACCATCCGCAGCCAGCGCAGCCAGGGCGCGCCAAGGCTCCTCTCCGGCGCCTCCCTCGGAGGAAGGCAGCGCCCCGCCGCGCAGGGCTCTTCCTAGCCGGGAGAGGGCACCCGCTGGAGCGAGCATCGCGGCCTGCGGCGGTGGGCGCAGAGTGCCTGGAAAGCGCGCTTGTCACGCCGCCCTTGCTCCGGAGCAAACTTCTGCTGACGGCGGGGCTGGCCGGCGCTGATGCACGCTGCCAACTCGTGGCCCCGCTCCACCAGTAGCAGCTGCAGCGGAATTCCAGTCCTCACGATTCGGAGCAAAAAGCTGATTTTCACGAGAGGCAGCGGATCGATGGGGATGTGCAGATTCTCCAACTCTGGCGCTTGCTTGTCTCTCCCATGTGATGAGCGTGATAACAAAGTGTCTCAGCAGCAAAGCGTGGTTAAACGATGACATGTGAGAGCCAGTTTGGCGTCGTGGTTAAGAGCACGGGACTGGGACTCAGGCGATCCGGGTTTGAGTCCCCGCTCGGCCATGGAGCCAACTGGGTGACTCTGGGCCAGTCACAGACTCTCAGCCCAGCCTACCTCACAGGGTTGTTGTTGTGGGGAGGAGATGGAGGAGGAGAATGATGTAAGCTGCCTTGAGCCCTTTGTAGGAAAAAGGCAGGATATAAATCGCAATATAAATAAATAAAATAAATGTGCAGCTTATCATATCATCTGTACCCAGCCACAGGAACAAACAGTTTGTTAACCAACTATGACTCATGAATAGAACACAGGGTTTGTTTTTGGGTTGTAGACTGTGGGTTGCTCTCACTTAAGAGACCATAGGTGGTTGTCCTAGCTGGGTTATGGCAACATAACCCTAAGGTTCACCTCACATTCATACTTAACCTTTGTGGGTTCCTGTGTTGTCACAGGAGCCGATTGCTCTCCAAGATTTCAGATGGGCCTTTTCCCCCAGGAATTAAACTTCTGCACATGAATTTGGTGGCACCCCACTGGGAGTTTGACATTTCTCTAGCTGCCACACTGCACTGCTCTGGATTGAAGAGGAGTCCCAGATAAATTATAGGGCGGATCTCCTTCTGCAGCAGGCCTGTTGAAGGGAGTTCTCAAGGCATGGCCGAATACAGCCAGTTCCTGAGCTGGGGAGCTGCTCCATTCACCTGAAACTCCAGAGCCAGCGGTGCGCATCCAGGGTACCCACCATATTGCCTGCACACGCTCCCAGTTTCCCCCCCTTCCTGCCTCGGGGGTCCACGCCTGAGCCACACGGCTGGTTGGAAAACCAAATCTCCCCAGATGAAACAAGACGGCAACCACAGCGAGGAAAAAGCACCGGGGAACGTGGATGATGGGTGTTGAAGGGCAGCAGGAGTGCACGAAGGAGAACAGGGGAATCGCAAACACTCCAGTTCTTACTGGTCGGGTCTGATTGCTCTTCCTGAACCACCGGCTAAAGTTTAATTAAGGCCCAGTTTATGCAGGTCACAGACTCCTGAGCAGCCATTCGCCAATCTGTGGTACATGCTGGTCATTCCAACCCAGAGATGAAGAACAGGCTGTGAATCCAAACTGGGCTTCTCAGGCTCAGCTGGCGCTCGCTCAGAATCCAGCCCTCAGAGCCCAGGACTGGCCTTACAAACATAAGGACCTCTGTCCTTTGACACTCTCTGAGCGACCCCGGCTCTGTTTTAGTACGATGGGAGCCACCTCATCCTCTTTCTCGATGCTGTGTTGATGGAAGTACACCAGAAGAGCCCTCAAGCTGGGTCAGGCCCAGGGGGCTGGGTAGCCCATCCTCCTGTTCCCGTACGATTTTGTCCCCAGGAAGCCCTTCTTCCCACCATTTCCCCCACTAGCTGCTGTGCATGGGCTTGCTGCTGTTGGGGCTGGAGGGGGCAAAGAGTCATCAGGTCTAGTAGCATGGTGCAAGCAGGTGAGTAGACAGACAGACCAGCTTCCATAAATTGGAAGAATGCCATCAATTTTGGTTCCCTCCCCTCCTTTTGAGGGTTGTAAAGGGGCACAAAGGCTACTGAAAAATCAGGGCGGCCCCATTTGTGCCCGATTCGCCAGGCCCGTGAAGGGTACAGTTTCCAGCCTGATACACTTCAGGAGGGGCTGGGACAAGAAGTGCCAATCCACAGGTTTTTTTCATGGCTGGCCCCTGGAATGGGGAGTAGCTGTGAAGCCTGTGTGTTGTCCCCACATCCGGAAAACCGGCAGCATGTCGGTAACCTGACAGTTGCTTCAGGAACTAATTCAAGCCACGATCAATCATGGTGCAAAAGAATATCTGGGGAGCCAGCCGTGGCGGAAGAAACATCTGGGGCGGACTAAATAAATAGCATTCCAAATTCTTCAGCACGGACTGTCTTGACCCACATATTTGCCTGGAAAAGTATCACAGAGCCTGGGCTTATCTGCACTCCAGCTCTGGATGGGTGTTAAATTAAGGGAATTTATTTATTTATTTATATTGCAATTTATATCCTGCCTTTTTCCTACAAAGGGCTCAAGGCAGCTTACTTCATCTTTCCTCCTCCATCTTCTCCCCACAACAACAACCCTGTGAGGTAGGTTGGGCTGAGAGTCTGTGCCTGGCCCAAAGTCACCCAGTTGGCTCCATGGCTGAGTGGGGACTTGAACCCGGATCCTCTGAGTCCCAGTCCCATGCTCTTAACCACTACACCACACTGGCTCATTAGGGAAGTCGTTAGCAAAAAGAAGTCCCTTCTCTTCTGCACGGTGCTTCCTCCTTTTCTCCATGTGGAACTCTGCTTGCGTCACCCGCAGCTTAGTGCCCAGCCTGTTTATTGATTCCTTTGGGACAATTTTCCCATGCTAACAGAGATGGGCAGGCCATGGTACACAAAATGCTCGCTGTACTGAGAATAGGCAGAATGCATCTCTCTGCCCTTGAGAGAAATTCTAGCTCTGGGGTTCTTGTGATGCCAAGTATGGCTGGCCGCAGCCACTGGGACAGTAATTTTCCGAAAGGGGACGCCCTCCTAGGGTGGCCATTTTGTGAGCGTGCCCATGACACAGCCTCAGAATTCCAAAAATGCCCAGGAATGACCCTGAGCCTAGCTCTCCATGGCCAATAAAAGAAACGTAAAAAAGTATTTAAAAAACCAGAACACAGGCAACAAGCATAAAAATATTAAATGGGCGCTTTAAAAAATGAAGAGAAGGAGTAACATGGTTGAAAAAAAGGGGTCTTTCGTGTAGTTGAACATGTGTTCAGTGAACTTCAATATGTATGTAAAACCGGCCTAAAACTGGCTAGCGACTGTATGTCACAGCAAATTTCTAGCTGGTCACATTTGCTGAACTTATGCAACGTTGTGGGATATTTGTGAATATTCTAACTTAGAAACATAGAAACAGGGCGAGTCAGAAGGAGCCTCCTGGGCCATCTAGTCTGACCTCTGGCACCAGCCGGCTCCGCTCACGACATGCCCACCATGTACATGTCAGAATGGAAGTGTCAGCTGCAGAATGTTAATAAACAGTTCAACTTCGGTGAGTGGGATTACTTTTTGGTTTGACTAGGAAGAAAACCCACATACAGGTCTCAGGGCAATGTGTTTTTAGGCTGGAATAGGTGGAAGAAAGGGATGTTGGGCAGGTAGGGACCGGCTGAGGAATCAGGGGGAGCGCTAACATGCACGATGGCTAAGCAACTGGGAGAGGGGAAGCCGTAGGGAAAAAGGAGTGTTTAGGGAAAAGAAAAATGTTAGAAAAGAAAAACCGTCCGTGAAAGACATCCGGAGGCAAAGTACCCAGAGGAGGGCCTTCTCTGCGGTGGCGCCTCATCTATGGAATGTGCTCCCCAGAGAGGCCCGCCTGGTGCCGTCATTATTTGTTTTTCGGCGCCAGGCTAAGACCTTTTTATTTAAACCATATTTCAATAACTTTTTAATATTAGCTATAATTGTTTTAATCTGCAGCCAGGGTGGATCTGGAATTTTATTTGTATCATGTTTTATATTATTATTTTTATTTATTTATGTAAGCTGTCCTGAGGCTCTGCGAAAAGGACGGCATATAAATATTCTCAATAAATAAATAGGGAGGAAGCACCTCACACCTAGACCCAGGAATTTAAGAAAACTAAAGATATTTTGAAGGTTATGTGACCTCCCGCAAGCCAAGGAGATTGATGTGCAGGGTGGTTGTGGTAAATATGATCTATTAAACCTTCTAGAAGTGTGATCAGTTTTTCACGTCCCATGAAGTAGATCTCCTTTCTCACTCCCAGAAACCTCTTCCAGTTTTGGAACGGGACAGACCATGACAGGAAAAAGCAGGACATCTGGACAATCTCGGTTACATCAGCTGACAGCTATATCTATTTATATAAATAAGTTTTTTTCATTTGGTCATAATAAATATCAGGTATATACGGTCTGTAAATTATTACAGATAATGCCCCTGCATGTTAAGAGTCGGCCAGATCGCAAAATGTCGGTTTAGATGTAATTTTCTTCAGCGTCATCTGAATCCAGGGGGTGCCTGTCCAACGCTAAGGGAGAAAAAGAACAACCAAACGTCATTGCTTGGATTCGTCCATCCTCTGGACTGCATGCATGTGGTTCCTTTTGGACTTAGGACTGACGGCAAAAGAAGCCGAGGTGGAAATAGCAACCTCATTTCACTCAGTGCTTCAACAGCCAGTCCATAAGCCTTTGGTGAAGCATTTTGTCCGAGGTGGAGGCAACCCACCAAAAGCAGCACCTGGGAGACCACGAAAGATTGGCCAGGTGAGGAAAACGGAGGTGGTCTGTCTTTCTGAGACCTTCTCAGGACCAAGGGCTTTGGTGTCATCAGAGGACATGCTCCTGGCTGACGGCCCAATTGGAGGCCACCCGGAGAAGACTCCTCAGAGCAGCAGCTCCACTTCGGTGGAATCCACAGCCTCCACCTCTGTGTTGGAGCGTTTTTATTTCAGGAAAGCCTTTCTTGTCTGACCCATTATGGTCTTATTGATCTTTCATTTTTAATAGCAGTTGGGTTCAGAAAACATGATAACTCACACCCAAGGAATAAGGATGGGTTGAATGTGGGTTATTACTGAAACAGAGGTTATTGTGTTGTCCGAACCGAGATGTGCAAACAAGCCATGGTTACTCAACCATGAAAAAAACCCATGTTTTTTTTTTCTTGGCTCATAAACGATGGGTTGTTCACCATGGTTTGTTACCTCCGCTGAGTTCACACAACTTGATAGCCCAGGTTTCAACAAGAACCCACACTCCACAGATTCATGAACTCTGAGTGTGGCTTGCCACATGGTTTGACTCCAGCCAGACAATGTTCTTTCTTTGTACCTTCTAGTGGCTTAGATGCAGAGCAGAATAGGAATACTGTAAATAGAAGAATGCATAAACATTAGGAAATGCCCGACAGCCAGACTGAGAGCCCGGGGTGTCTGGATCTGGTCTGCAGCCTCAGGTTCAGCATCTGGGTTTGAACTGGAGATGCCATGGATGGAGCGAGGACAGACGAGAGGCAGTCCCTGCCACTGAGCTTACCTGCGCAGCTGCCGTAATGCCGGATGCCAATGGATCGGCCCAGGAAGCAGGTGGCGCGCCGTAGGTGACAGGTGGAGGGGTAGGTGACGTTGTTGTTCCCGCAGATGGCGTGGTCGAGGGTTGTGGGGTCCGGGCAGGGGGCAGCTCTGCACACCACACAGTGCGCGCTCCCAGTCTGGTCCACGACGCATGTGTGGGTTCCGGGGCACACGACGCTGGAGCAAGATTCTGCGGGAAGGAAGCACAATGAGGAGACGGAGATCGGCTGGGAGGGAATGCCGACTCGGCAGGTGCGAATGCAGCAGAGTCCCTCGGTTTCGTGTTGGGCGGTGAACTGTGGGTTGCTTGCCCCCCTCCCCAGCTAGGTCCACACAGTGGGACGATCGTGTTGTCTGAACCCAGGCGTGGCCAGTGAGATCCGGGGTGCAACAGAGGAGAAGGAACGGTGAGGGCAGCTGAGGGTGCGACTCCCACTGCAGCCTTTTGCATGCGCCCCGAAATACTGTGGCCGTGGGCGGCCCATGGTCTGGTGGGATGCAGGCAGGGCCGCCACGGGCAAAGCCCAGCGGCGTGGCTCAGGCGGTGCCTTACTTTTGCATCGGCCTTGGTACATCACTTCCAGGTCAGGATACCCTCTGCACTTGGCCGTCAGGAGTTCGCATTCGTCCCGGTAGGTGAACCCGTCCGAGCCGCACACCTGCATCTTGCGGGACAGGTGAGAGCAATCTGGGGCACAGGTGCAGTGCGGGCGCCCATACTTCATCTTGCAGACCTTGCCTGGCCCACAGTCCACCCCATCACAGGACTCTGGAGGGAGGGAGAACACGCAGAAGGTTTTCTCGGGGACCAGGAGAGCAACTGGATCAGAATCGCATGACATGCAGTGTCCAGCCCTTTCGGCTGTTTATTTCTCATCTGACTGGTGAATGGATTCCGCGTTCTACAGAATAGAAAAGTCAGTGCTTTTTTTGTAAAAAAAAAAGCTGCCGGAACTGACCTCTTGGGGTCACACTTTTACACTAAAAAAGATGTTCAATTCACCAACTTTTTTTGAAATAAAGAACTTATTTACCTTTTGCACGTAGCCAGTCACTCTACACACACACAAACACAATGGTCGCCGCCGGCAGGAAGCACTCAGCGCGCGACCACACGACTGATCCCAAGCCGAGCAGCGCCCCGAGCCGAGCAGCACCCTCACAAGCAGCGCGGACACACAAGCAGCCCGCAGGCACTATGATAATGATTTCTGCCGCCGACCTGCTACGCCCAACAGGGCGATTCACAATCACTTGGAAAAATCCGTCAAAAAAGGTGCTAGAACGCCGTTCTGGTGTGTTCTATGACAAAAAAAGCCCTGAGAAAAGTCCTCGGAGAAACTTTCCAGCAGCTGGAGTAGCCCTTGAGCCCAGAGTGGAAGTGTGCCTGTTGGTGCAGCCCGTGTCCTACCGTATTTCCCTGAAAATAAGACCGGGTGTTGTATTAATTTTTGCTCCAAAAGACACACTAGGGCTTATTTTCAGGTGATGCCTTATTTTTCCATATACAACCAACTACATTTATTAATTTATTCATGTACTAAAATCTACATTTATTCAAATACAGTAGTGCCATCTTCTTCTGGAACATCGTCATGACTCTCCAAACCCCAAATTGTGTTGCAACGAAAGTACTAAATCTGTCTCTCTGGCTGATGATCTTAACTGGGGCTTATTTTGGGGGTAGGGCTTATATTAGGAGCATCCTTAAAAATCATGCTAGGGCTTCTTTTCCAGTTAGGTCTTATTTTCGGGGAGACAGGGTAATAATGCCCCCTGTCACTGCTTGAGGGGGTGAATGAGCGGGGGGGGGGGGGTAGCTAGTCCATTTTCTGAGTGGGGCTGCTTCACAGCAGAGGGAGGAAACAAGCTTAGAATCTGGTAGGATTGCTGGCGAATTTCCCCGGCTTCCAGGCATATGCTTAAATTTGTCTGCCACCTGGTGCCTGAAGATGTCACTGCAGGCCTCAACCACATCGACACACTATTAAATTAATTACTAATTAGCTATTAATGAACCATTAGTCCTTGCAGTGAGTTAATGGATCTTAAAAACCGGAAGGCCTTGGCAATTATAGGTGGCCTATAACTATATAGGTACTCCAGGCGCCAAGTTTATACCCTTTTCGGCACCAGGCCAAAACCTTTTTATTTAAACAGCATTTTAAAATTTAACAACGTTTCCCTTTCAGTTGCTCTGTGTGTTTTGTGATTCATTGTTTTGTCCTGTTTCTATTATTTATTAGAAATTGTTGTTTCAAGTGTCCTTTTAAATATTGTAAGCCGTCCTGAGATTTTTGTATAATACTTGTAAGCCGCCCCGAGGCTTCGGCGAATGGGGCGGCATAAAAATGTTTTAATAAATAAATAAATAAAATAATAGGACAGCATACAAAAGCTATGAATGAAAGAAAGAAAGAAAGAAAGAAAAAGAAAGAAAGAAAGAAAGAAAGAAAGAGAAAGTATGTACATACATACATATATCATGAATACTTTTGTTCTAGAAACGAAATAACTCCACTGCCAGAGGCCTGTGAATGTGCATGCCAGGTTTCAGGGGACTAGGTCTCAGGGAGTACATGCTTTTACAATGATGGACCACTGGGTGGACAGATATATATGCTCATGTACTGCTATTCATTCCATTTACATGCCCAGCCATAGGCTCTCCGGGCAGCCTATTAGACATGACTTTGTTCATTAAAGTATTTGAAGCCAGTTGCTTAGAAAGAATACGAATGGATCAAAATATCAGCATCCTTGCCTTTCGAACTCAACAGCTGTGCATCCTCGTGCAAAGTGCTTGCTCATACATATCGGAGCAACACTTTCGTGGAACGGTTGCACGGTTAAAGCATCTGTTCCTTGAGTAGGCATGTGGGGAAAAGGTTCTTTCCCGTTCATACCTAACAGCGCAATCCTATGTGTATTCACCTGTCGGGTAAAACACAGCGACTAGCCGGGTAACCTACTGTGGCAGAGAGTTCCAAAGGTTGGATTCCACCACCAGGTACCGCATTGCTGTTTAAAACCAGATGCTGCAGGCGACAACGCCGTTTTGCTGTCGCCATCGATGTGCGTTGCTCCTCTTTATATTGCTAAGTTTGCATCTATGCACAGACATGAGCGTGGGCAAATCTTTCTCCAAGAGATGTCCTCCGTTTGGGAGACCATGTTTCCTTTTTCTGGGAGACCCCTAAGAAGTTCCCCCAAGGTTTCCGGATGTTCTCCTAGGTTCCTGTGTAGGGCAGACGGGATAGAGAAAAGTGCAGTCGGGCACACAGTGGTCTTTGCAGCCAGCCAAGTGTGCTCTTGAACTGGGATTGCCACCCTTTGGCAAATGGCCCAAGCTTCTGCAGTGCAGCAGCTTTCAGAGATGGGTCGGACTACAACCCCCATCATCCACTGCCAGAAAGATTTGGGGATGGTGGGGATGGTAGTCCGACCCTTGCCTCTGGCTGCAAAAGTTGGGCCAGGTACTCCAACAGCATCTCCATCAAAGGTTTTCTGCATGTGGGGACTTGACGTCCTGGGTCAAAAGGGTGCAGAGCTCTTTGTCAAAACAACCAACCAACTAACCAACCGCAGGAGGAGGACATACAGAAAAACAAGGGCGAAGAAAGGAAAGTTACGAGAATTTTTGCAATATGCCCCCACAAGCACGCAAGAGGCGAACTTTGGATATGCCAGAAGGAAGTGGGAGGCGTGCGTGCGTGTGCGTGTGTGTGTGTCTGTGTGACCGACAGACATGTTTGGAAAGGGATTCCATAGAAAAGTCTTTCTGCCATAACAATAGGACTCCCTGTTTTGCCGGCGAGCTTCCGTGACATGAAAACAAGAATGGGCAACAAGTCAGGAGGGGGATCTGTCTGGAAAATTAAAGAAGAGAGACGGAGAAAGGAGAAAAGCCCATTGGCCTACAGGGGAGGCGGCAAGGAGACAGACGGGTGTATTGTGTCCATGTGTCACCCTGGGGCAAAACTGTCTGGCGCGTTTTGTGGGGTGGGGTGAGGTGCGTGGAATTAATTTCCCCGGAGAAGCCGTGTGTGGGCCTTTCTGGCGGGGAGGGGGGGATGTTGGCATGCGCTGCGCATGTATGGGTGGCCCAATCTTGGAAGAAAAATAAAGAGGGCATTTCACAAGTGGTTTCCCGGCGGCACAGAGAACCCATGGCCTCGTCTGTTCCTGCTCTTTTTTGTGTCGGTGACCAAGAAAAGAATTTGGGGAGGCGCGCGAGGGAGGCAGTGGCCCCCTCTTGCTTTGTGACGCCATTTAATGCGTTTGTTTATTGTTATCTTTATATCCCAGCATTTTTGTCCCTCTGCAAGGGGGTTTCCACAATCATCCTCTTCTTCATTTCTTCTCACATCAACCCTGTGAGGTAGGTCAGGCTGAAGAGTCAGCTACATGGCTGAGTGGGGATTTGAACCTGGATAATCCGGGTCTTAGGTCAACCAAGATTTGGCCTCAGCATTGTGGCCGTTTCGGTCTCTTTAGCTCCTTCTGCAGCCTAACTTCTGCCCAAGGGCCAACTTCTATTCCAGAGAAGCTTTTGGGGGTCACATTCCAGTGGGTGGGGTTCAAGAGCAAAGGGGTGCAGCCAGCAATGCTGGCATCATCCACTTAACGCTCTCTTGGTTGCCTTCTCTGCTTTGTGGGAACTCAGCCTTTTAGGATGGAGGAGAACCTGAACAAATTTGGGATGTCACTGTAAGGTAAGTGCCGGAAGGACAGGAAACTGGTATGACCACCTGGAAGACCCCTGAGGCTCAACTGGGACCCCAGGAATGCCATCTTGGGTCTGTCTACTCGGGAACAAACATCCAACCTAGACAATGCCTTCTGTTTTCCAAGGGGCAGAAGAAAAGGGCTCAGCCCAAAGGATCTTTAATGGCAGAGTGCTTTTGCGTGGAATTCTGCTCTAAGAGGGCACGGAGAAGAGCCATTTGTCATGAAAAAGCAAATAATGAAATAGGACATCATGAAATTGGCTCGACAAGAGGCTGCCATACCTCTTGTATCGGGGAGTTCCACAAGTTAAGCACTCATCGTGTGAAGTAACACATTTATCACCATATGAACCTGTGAATTGCCAAAATCTGAGTTCAGTAAAAGAGGGGGGGGGGATTTCTCCATTTTCGCAAAATAATCCCAAAGGAATCTCGATAACAGTGTTCCTGCAATCATGACATTGGGGGCTTTTCTGGGGAACAGGGTTAAACTCATCATAAATCCACCATGCACAATTTCCCCTCCAGCCTATGGATTTTTTAAAGACTCAAATTTGCGTGTGTTTTCGTCCATAGCTCTCGTTTAGCATAAGTGCTTTCCATAAGCTGGGAGTTATTCTGGCACACAAGCTTCACAGGTGAGAGGTATTCAGTGGTATTTTAGTCCACTTCTTCACCTGGGGTGTCCAAGTGAACTCTGAAGGCCCAGCAAACCAAACCCTCTTCCAATTCCAGATCAAACTGAGGCTGGAGGTTCTGGGTAACGGGCCCTGATACTTACGACATGACTTCGGCCTGGTCATGGACTCTCAGCCTAAGCTACCTCACAGGGCTGTTGTGAGGATGAAATGCAGCAGAGGAAGACTGCATAAGCCACCTGGGGTTCTTTGGAGGAAAGACAGGGCATAATTTTGAGGAATGAACACGTGACGTCAGCATCATTGTTAATAAAAAGTGCACCACCCAAGCAAGAGTCCAGTGGCATATTCATAGATGCAAACAGGGGTGCTGGATTTTGTCAAATCCCTCCTATCCAAGCTTCATGGAGTGCCCGGCATCTTTCCTTCCTTCTCCCTCTGGCACCAACCACTGATGAAAAAGGATTTTCATTGTATGGATATTCCGCACTCTCATTCATTTCCGCAAGTGCACTCTGGGATCAATGCGCATCAGCACACATCGCCTTAACGTTAATGCGCATCAGCAGTTGGTGCACATTGGCACTGAAGGACACCCGCATTCACACGCATCGACACAAATGTGGATTTGTGTAAATTCTCCCCATATGTTAAAAAAATCCATGCCACAAATTCATGGATCCTGCACAGGTCAGAAGCAAAGCTGGACTGTGGTGGAATCCTCAGGCCAAATTCACAGACATCTAAACACATGTATTGCAGAGTTCTCAAATTCTGAAAATTGGGGAAGAATGACCCTAAAGAAAAGACCAACGGATTGCTTAGTTGCCCGGGTGCTGGGACGTGGGCAACTCCTAGCTTCTAGGTCTGTGCCTTTCTTTCCTTGTGCCTCTTCATCTTTCTATTGCTTTCTAGGGGGTTGCCTGCATTCAAGACACTCAAACCCAACATGCATGCAGTACCCAAGAACTCAACAAGGCACCAGCTACGTGGAAGTTTAAACCAAACCTAGTCTGAGCCGTGCCAGGGAAAGCCATCGGGGGTGAGCACACTGGGGCTCCCACAGGCTGGGGCTTCTGCACCCCTGAAATAGAGGGCTCACCCTCAAAGAAGACACCTTGCATCACTCCATCCATTAAACCAAAGCATGCCCCAAAGCTTGTACCTTTGCAAGGGTTGCAGCTCACGAGGCCAAGGATCCGGAGCAGGCTGATCTTGTTATTCGGGTGGGAGGAGTTGGACCATGCCCTGTCCGTGTTGCCGTTGGCACAGCAATCTTCCCAAGTGACCCCCGTCCGGACGATCATGGTGCACTTCGCCTCCCGGCCTTGTTGCAGCCAACAGATGCCTCCTGCGGGGACAACAGTGAGGTGGCCCTGCTCATGCATCCGTGGCTAGGAGCTGCGCACAGATTGTGGCAAATGCCAGCTCAGGGGCAAACAGAAGAGGGTGGGACCGATTCACGTTGGAGGGAGAAGGCTGTTAGGGTCGCTGCATCAGGCTCTGGTGCCCAGAGCTATCTCTCCTTGAATGTCAAGCTTTCGGGGAACACACAAGGAGAACAAACAGTTGCGGGCACACCCTTCAGGAAGACCCCAAGAAGTAGAACCCCAAGGTTTTGCCTGCGGGAGGCTCCGGATTTGATCCTCAGAAAAATTCCTTCCGGAAACCCTGGAGAGCCATGGTTAGCGTGGAAAATGGCTGGGTTTGCACGAAATGCTAAGCCACAGTTTACTTAATGCTTGGTTGGTGGATTCTGGGCTGTGCTGTTGGCCTTGGGAGACTCGGGAAGAAAAGCCATGGTTCTTGTGGGGCTGTGAACTCTGGGTCCTAAAATACCTTGCCTAAAGCAAAATTGTCATCACGTATTTATTTATTTGTAACTTTTTTAGACTGTCCCTTACTATAGTCTTGGGACAAAAAGACAAAATAATAATAATAACAATAACAACAACAATAAAAACAGCATCCATTTATATCCTGCCTGCAACCCAATGTGGCTTATCTGCCTCTAGTTTATCCTCACAACAACCCTGTGAGGTAGGTTGGACTGAGAGTGAGTGGCTGGCCCCACATCACCCCACTCAGCTTCCCAGGTCCACAGTGCAATGCGACCTATTGCAGCATGTTGGTGGCAACCAAGGTGCTGGCCGGGAGAGCTGCAGACTGCATATTTTGGGCCTGTTGGCTTGCTTTATTTTGCCTTCGGGTGGCCACAAGGGCTTCTCCAAAAGGAAGCCCTCTCTGATAGCCAAGCTGGAGAATCCCAGCTCTGTTCTGCTCAGAGGTTCTGTGCCATTAGCAGGGGCTTCTTTTGGCTTCCATGAACGGAGGAAAGGGCCATTCATGGCCGCTCAACAAGGCCAGGCAGAACTCAGTGGGGTTCAGTGTGCTGCACACGACTCCCTCAACCAAGGGGGTTCCCACAGCACCTGCTTGTCGCTTCTGTTGCCTGAGTTCGAGGGAGGGACAGCCGGACAAGCGGGCTGCAGCGGTGGAAAAGAGAGACACTCCTCCGAGAGCTTGCCCATGGCTCCCTGTCGGAGCACAAACCCTCTGCATCTGTCTGTCTTTCTGGCCCCAGAGGCAGCCCTGGAGTTGATGGCCTGGCTGACCTCGTCAGGACCTCGTCACCTGGGTCAGAGGTTCAAAACAAGTCCCAGCCCTGAACTGTGGGAAGGCCAAGGTCAGGTCTGTGTTAGCGTGGTCGGAGCAAGACTTCTCCGCCAATCTGACAGACAAACTTTGTTTTGCCTGCAGAGCAAAGATGAGCTGTAAAAGAAGTGGGTGGGCGGAAAGGCAGGCGGGTGGGGAGCTCTGTCTGGGATGTTTGATCCAAGCATGATCCCGCCCCCCTCAAACAGAACAGCTCTCCGAGCCAGCCACCTGGCAAAGAAGCTAGTCAGCTGGCAGCCAAATCAAAAGGGTGTTTGTTCCTTAATCTCGTGAACTAATCGCTCGTTTCTTGCGATAGAGAGCCTTCTGCAATTTCCGTCTTGGTGCACCAGACGCTCCCACGTTCCTCAAGCTTTTTCCCAAGGAGGCTGGCTCCTCGGCTGGGTTTGATGGAAGGCATGCAGGGGGGGATGGAGCCCTCTCTTCCAACAAGGGTGCCTTCCTTAGATTCGGCCTGTGACCTGCTTAATTCGATGGCCCCCGGTGTGAAGCATTTCAGACAGTATACCTGCGCAGCCTCTGGGGGAACCAGTCAGGGCCTCGACAAAACATTTTCCTTCGGCAGGAAAGACCTCAACAACCTGCGATTGCATTGTTTCAAGAGATATAAAGACAATCACTAGTATCTCCACTTTTGCTTTGAATAAAGCACCTGTCGCCACCAGTGATGCCTTCTGCAGTCCGGATCATCTAGCAGGGCTTGGGTGAAGCAAGGAAGCCATCTCTTGCACCGTCCTCGCTAAACAACACACTCTTATGTGTGGCCTCGTGGGTGACCTGTTGAACTGTGCAAGCAACCCTTACGGCCCACCACCAAAACTGCAGGATGCATTATCAGACCCTGCCTGAGAATAAATCGAATTTTCCATTGATTTCAGCCGGGTTTCCGTGAGAGCTTTAACACAGGGGTGGTTAAATCAGAGTTCTGCAGCGAAAGGAGAGACTTGGCTTGGCTGCCCAAGAGGATCCACCTCAGGAAATGCACAATGGAGAGCCAGGATAGTGCCTTGTAACGCTAGAACCGTTGCATCGGGAAGCCAAGTTTGCCGCCGCCTTTCTTGTGCGGTGGGTTGCTCCCTGTACATTTGCAGACGAAAAGCTCTGCAAGAAGATTAAAATCCACACTTCAAAGGGCAGACGTCTCCTTTTGAAGAGCGCACCTGGTTTCCGAGTCTGAATTCCATCCTATGAGAGGGTTTCGCAAGGGCCAGGGGTGGGGGAGTGGATGAGTCATTTCATATTTCAGTGTCCCAAATGGAGTTTAAAAATGTGGAAATCTGTACCGCACGTGCCAGATTCCAGGTCCGGACTCCATATTTTCTCAACTCTTGTTGACAATTGCAATCGCAATTACGTTGGAAGAGCCATCAATCTGGCATCAACGGTGGGATTTTCACAACTGGGCATATTATGAAAACCCCCAGGATGTTGTTGGATTGCAACACCCATATCCCTCACCACTGATAATCCTGGCAAGGGTTGATGGGAACTGAAATTTATTTGTTTGCATATGGCTCTTTCCTTTTGAAAGGATTTGGAATTATCATTGCTGTTTGGAAAATGGGTGTTGCCCATTGTTTTAATGTTTTACTTGGTGATTGGCTTGACCCTTATTTTCCTTAGGAATGTGGCCTCCACGGCTTTGGTGGGACGTGACTCACAGATGCCTCAAAAGAAAACTTCTGTGCCATTCATTGCTTGGACACCGGAATTACTTGCACTCATTTGCTTGTTGGCTCAAATTGTCCTCTGTGAGCTGCTGACAGTGTCTGTCCCAAGTATATTTTCACTCAGGTGGCTGGACTTGGAATCTGACGTGTAAATTTCCCATCATGGCTGAGCTGAAAGGGCTGGACAATGTTGGTGTAGCTCGTGGTGGTCACGTTGTCTGAGAGAATAAATCAGTCGCAGCTCACAATCCAGCAACAAGCCATGGTCTTCCTTATGGGTTGTTTGTGGCTTGCTAGCACAGCTGTGTTCAGACAACACAACAACCCTTGATCCAATCACAACCTATGGTTTAATGCCAACCTACACTCATTCTGTGCTTTGAGTATGGGTTCTCAAAGGCTGTCACAAAGAGGAAGGGCAAGGTCACTGACACCAAGGTGTAGGACACGGAATAATCAAGTCAAGTTGCGACAACCTAGATTCAGGCCGGACACCAGGAAAAGCTTCCTCACGGTCAGAGCAATAGGATAGTGGGACCAGCTGCCTGGAGAGGTGGGGGCTCTCCCACACTGGGGACATTAAGGAGAAACTGGGCAGCCACCTGAGTGGGATGGTGTGACTTGGTGTCCTGCAACAGCAGGGGGTGGAACCGATGGCCTTCGTGGCCCCTTCCAACTCCACTATTCTGTGATTCTAAGACAGCCCTATGAGGAGAGACTGAGAGAACTTGGCACTTGCCCTTCCTGTTCAGCCTTGAGAAGAGAAGTCTGAGGGCGGTCATGACATCCCTCTAGAAGTCCTTCAAAGGCTATCACAGAGAGGAAGGTGAAGGTATCTTCTTACTGATAAAAGTCCAGCTGCAACAAGTCAGATTCAGGCTGGGCACCAGGAAAAGCTTCCTCATGGTCAGAGCAAGACAACAGTGGGACCAGCTGCCTGGAGAGGTGTGGGGCTCTCCCACACTGGGGACATCCAAAAAGAAACTGGACAGCCCTCTGAGTGGGATGGGGAAATCCAGCATCCTGCAACAGCAGGGGGCTGGACTAGATGGACTTCAGGGTCCCTTCCAGCTCTACCATCTTATGATTCTATGCTTCTCATGCATTGTGGGTCGCTCTGGAGTGAGAGGCCAAGGAAGCTGGTACTGTATGGAGTGCAATCCTTTTCTGAAGTTCTTGAGTAGGAGAATTGTCTCTCCCTTCACTTTTGCCCTGCATTCTTTCTAACAATCATCCAGTGTGGTGTAGTGGTTAGAGTGTTGGACTGGACTGGGCTGAGATGCAAGTTCTAATCCCCACTCAGCCATAAAATTCCCTGGGAGACTGTGGGCCAGCCCCTGACCTCAGCCTAGCCTACCTCACAGGGTTGTCATTGTGAGGATAAAATAGAAAGGAGGGGGATAAAGGCAGGATATACATTGCATCAATGATTAATCAATCTAAGCATAAATAAATCATATTAATAACTGGAAATGCAGTGTTTGAACTGTCTTCCTGCAACATCTGCATTTCTACCCCTTTAAACGGGGCGTTGGTACATCTTCTGTCCTTCATGCATGTTATCTGACGATGTGTGGACGAACATACATTCCTCCAGATATCATCAGACTTCATGCTCCATCATGCCTGACTACTGGACATCGCAGTGGGGGATGATGGGAGCTGGGATCCAATAAGAGATGGAGAACAGCCCCCACCCCCGGAAAAAGGTTATTTTAACCAGAAGGAAGAAAAATGTCATTTTTGCTCTCAGATCAGGAAAGGAAAGGAATGCAAACACCAGTAAATGAAAACAGTCTGTGTGTGTGTGTGTGTGTGTGTACAAGCAGAGATACTCTTGGAAAAAATAGGTGTGTTGGAAGAGTGATGGTTAAAGAGATGTGGAAGAAGAGGAGAAATCATGAAAACATTCACTGGGACTTGATGGATTGTAGAATGGTTTTTAAAGTGAAAGTTTAAAAGATTCCACTGTCTTTCACATGCCCTTCAGCACTTTCCCAATGAAAATAGAGAAGCGCTTGTTGCATCCATATACTTCTCCATATTCAAAGAAGACCTGGACCTGGAAATAAGATAGCATCAAACCATTCCCCACCACCAAAACGGAACACATATCTTGGTCTCTTTCACAGTTTAAAAATGCTCCACTCGCACATACAAATTATCACACAAACTATGGGTGGATTCTCTCACAATTAAATCAGTTTGGACTACCCAAATCAACAGGGTTGACTGATAAATATTGCATCCTGATTGAATTCTGTCATCCCTACTTGCGTTAAACAAATCAGGGATGAGGGAAAGCTTGGATGCCAGCCAAGCCTGGTCCTCTGCACATCCCCAGAGATCCTCTTTTCCCTGCATCCTGTCTGACATTCAAGAGTTTGGGGATTAGAGGGAGAAAAAGCAGCTATCAGAGATAAAAACACCGGCTGTCAGTCCCAAGAGATCAGGGGACAAGAAAGGCAGTGCACGGCACCCCTTGATATGCGCTTACCTGCGAAGGGGTCCCCTCCCGCTGAGCAGAGCGCGACTAGAAGCAAAAGGCAGCTCTTCATGTTGAATCGTGGCGCGGTTGGCCCAGATCAGGGAGGACGCGAGCGAGGAGGAGAGAAAATGATAATAGCAGATGAGTGCCAGCGGAAATTTTGCCGCGTTCTCTCCAGCCACTTTCGCGGGACGACCGCCTCAGCAGAGAACTTGTCCAACTCGCCCACTTCAGCAAAATGCCTGGATTGTGCTTGCTTGTTCTCGAAGGGAGGGTCTCCCTCTCCCCCCGGCACACACCCCGAGCCTCAGTTTCACCCTCCCCAGATAAAGTGTGTGTGTGTAGTCTGTGCGCATTGAATCATAACTGGAGAGGGAGGGGAGGGCGGTGTCGACGAGCGTCCAGTAACATGCCTGGAAGGGGATTGTGTCTGGGGCCCGCCTGGATGCCGTTTCCCACAAATCATTGTCAAGATCGCCAATATCGCAAGCACAGGGCTGGGCTCTTTGAAGGCTTTTATTGGGGGTTTTGTTCTAATGTCCCAATGTGCCTTTTGAGTTGAGCCAAGAGTTCCTCTCTCTTCCCCTTTTCTCCCTCTTGGGCTGGAAAAGCGCCGTTTGTCTTCTCTGGTTTCCCTCCCGGCGCACTCTCCTTGCCCCCGTGCTTGTGCTGATCCTGGAAATCCCGAGATGCCGAGCAGAATATCCAGCTATGTGTTAGTCAATGCTCTTCTGAAGGCGCATATCTCATCTCTGGGGGAACCACTCCCCCTCCTGCACAGGGGGAAAGTGCTGCCAAGATGGCCTGGTTTGGAAATTTTATATAACCACATCCCATCCTCTTGTAAACTAGTTTCTACTTGGCACTGAGAGATGAGGCATTTGGAAACTGGGAAGCAGGGAAGAATGTTATAAACGGTGGAGAGGGGAACCAAAACACACAAAAAAGCAGGCCTGGTGCCTTTTCATTCTCGGGGGGGGGGGGTTGCCTTCTGTTGCTCCCCCCAGACTGAGCTTCACGGCAGTTCATACAGTTGCTGGAGGAGCCAGGGGCAACATTTTGGCTTTACAGAAAATGGCTAGAACGAGTTGGTTGATGCGATTCAACGCCGTCACTCGCTACTTCCAGGACGAGGGTGATGCCTGCTTGTCAAAATTGGCCGCTGCCACAGTTGGGATTGTAGGCTCAGTTTACGGCAGCAAACCTGGCCCTTCGGATGTCCTTGCACAACATTTCCCATCAGCCACAGCCAGCCTAGCAAGGGGTAACGTGGTCTCTCCGACAAGTTCCTGCGGGTCTGCTTGTCCCCCGTCCCTTGTCTCGGGATGCAAGAAATGCTCAGACTAGGAATTTCATGAAGACGAATGCTCCTGTTCTCCGGCACTGGGGACCCGCCAGCCTCAAAAGCAGCTGTCTCAAAACCTCAGCAATATTTGCACGCCTAGAAACCCAAGTGACTTGTGCAAGAGAAAGCAGGCCGACACTATCAGTGATCAGCCGACAAGAATACCCTGGGATCTGTGAAGTCTTGCGGGAGAGTCTGGTGCGCCAGGTGGGGTGTTTGCACCCCCAAACTGCACGGCTGCTAGTGAATGATGCTTTCCTTTCACCAGCATTGGGGAGGGGGGAGCTGAAATGCAGAGCAAACCAGAGGAAGCGGAAAGGCACAGGATGGGGCCAATTCCTCCCAGGCGAGAGGGATGGGCCGGGGGATCCCGTCCACGGAGGGGAAGGCACGTCCCCCGAGCCCCGGCCAGTCCCCAAAGGCAGAGGAGAAGCCCGCTCGCGGCCGCCCTCTTCTCCTAGGCCCTTCCTCCAGAGGCCTTTGCGCCAGATGTTTGCACCAGATGATCCCAGGTTTCTTTTGGGGAGGGGAGAAATGTGCAGACATCGGGGGGGGGGGCGGGGAATGGCTTGCTCGGGCCAACCTCAGGCGTGGGTTTTGTTATGTCTGCCTGCAAGACTTCCAGCCACACACGACACGACACGGGCTGGGATGTCGAAAGTGCCCTTTTCCCGGCCCCCCACCCGCACCCTCTCAAAAATGCAACTTTCTGAAGTATGGGATACGGGAAATGAAACGCCCCCGCATGGATCACACAGTTGAGCTTGTTTCTGCACCCATAGTACATCTTTCCTCACCCTGGAGTCCCATAGACCCCTGCCCCGTCAGGCCACCCAGTCTGGCCCATGGCTGGGGATGATGGGTGCTGTAGTCACCAGGCAGCAAAAGACCACCTTATTTCAGTGCCTTTGGGGCCTTGATATATTTTGCTGGCGTGTGTCCTGGGAGTGTTGATGTTTAGGGTTCTGCTACTTTTGCAGGGTCCTGGGTTCGAGTCCTAACTTCTCCACATAAGGCTAAGAAAACAGCCCTTTGTGAAACCAGTCCATGTAGACCAGCCTTCAACAAACTGTTGTCCATCAGATGTTTTGGAGTACCATCAGACTCAGCCAGCATGCCCAGTAGGCAGGGATGATGGGATTTGTAGGCAAAAGCATCTCTGTGTGTGTGACTGATTGTTGAACTATGCCAGAGGTTAGACAAACCAAGGATCTTGTGCCATTTGCGTCTTAAGAACCTTGAGGACTAGAATCTTTAATCTTATGGGAAGGGCCATAGCTTACCAGCTGGGAGAGGCCCTCCTTTAAAAACAAAGAATCCCAGTGAACTTCCAGCCAGCACCAAGCTGGGAGACCTCTATTATGGTCTGAGCTTTTGTGGACAACAAACTACGAAAGGGTTATCCTGAACTATCTGTATGTAGAAATTTGGCTGTAGTGCATTCCCAGTGAGGTCAGAGAGGATGAAATGCAGGAAGGACCAACAGGGATAATGATCATAAGAGAGGCCATCCATAAAACAGCTGTGGGGGGACAACACAGATCTCCAGGGTAAACCCCATCTCTTCTTATTTAATCCAAAGAAGAGACACAGACAGCAAGCGAAGGCTTGTGACTACACGCCTGGCTCTTTGCCCGTGGCCTGCGATGGCCACCTGGCACATTCCTGCCTGGTAAGTGTAGCCTCCATGCACTGGGGCAGTCTACCTCGGAAGCCATATGGTGAGAACAGGCAGAAGGGGAGGGCGAGCTTCTTAAGAGCTCCCAAGGCTGGCTTCTGTCAGGCGGGGGCAGATTGCTGGGTGGGACGGGCCTTTGTTATGGTCCCACTGGGCTTTTCCTGTGTTCGAAAGAGATTCCCCGAGAGATGAGATGCAAACACAGGCAAGATGCAACCCAGCAGAAGTCTGCACTGTGCAGGCCATAAAAGGAGAGAACATTCCTGGAGGTTCTGTGCTGAAGTTTTTTCTCCCTCTTTTCAATGACGACATTTTGGCAGATGGCCTCTCAACGGCATCCGATCCCGGGCATCGCCTGAGACACGAGGTGGGCAGGCTGAGAGCCGGCTTTTCTCGGTTGGGGGCTCACCAGGGAGCGAGGTGGAGCAGGTACCTGAAATCTCGCAAGCGCTTTTCTCGTGGCCTCAGCATCTACTGGCCCATCCAGTGGGTCCCGACTGAGGCACACAGGTTTCTCCTACGCATGTTATGAACCTGTCCCTCTGCTTTCCATCCCTGCTGAGCTCCAGGGCAGCTCACAATAAATAGCAGAAGCACAGCTTTTGACGCTGGATGGGGGAATAGCAGGCTGCCAGCGTGAGAAGGCCTTTGGGGTGGCAACCGGTGGCACGCAGAATATGAGCTGGCACTGTGACGCTGCAGCAGAAAAGGCGAATGCGATCGTAGGCCACACTGGGAGCCGTCCCTCCGGAGTCAGAGGACGCAAACACACCACTCATGTCAGACCTGATTTTGTTCTGCTTGCTGCAGGTTAAGAAGGCAGATAGACAAATTGGAACAAAGAGGTTCAAAAAGAGTCAGCAGATGGAAAGCAGATGCTATGAGACATGTTGGAAGGACTGCTTCCCACAGAGAACCGCCAGCCGCCCTGGAGGGAAACACAGATTAGGACAGGGGTGAACAGCACCCTCCACCCATGTTCCCCAGCAACTGCTGCACTGAGGCATCCTGCCTCTGATACTGAAGGGAGCACATACCCATGAGGACTAGTAGCCTTCTCCTCGAGGAATTTGTCCAGTCCTTTTTAACGCTTGTCAGGTTGGGGGCCGTCATGCCCAGGAGAAACCGCTGGGCTTCGTCTCTCCGGTCCACCTTTACCTTCCCTTTTGGGAGCTAGGAATACCCTGTGGCAGGGTAGGGGCTGGCAGGTAGGAGGAAGGGAGGAGGCCGGTCTCGTTCCTAGCCCCCAGGCCTGCTTGCCACAAAGGTCGGACCTAATTAAACGGAGCTGTTTTTGTCAAGAAACACTCTCCGCTAGGAAGACCATGTTGGGTTGTTCTCCCTCCCTCTCTCTCGTCCTCTAGCATTCTATCGCTCCACTTTCTTTTCCAGCTGGGACAGAAAAGTTGAAACAGATGGAAGGGCTTGTGCTCCATCCGCCGGTTGATGCCGGGCCTTGGCGTGGATGTAAACACGTCAGCTTCAGAGTGGGATGCCATGCGCATGGCAGGGCCAGGGGTGGAGGCGAAGGAGACAGGGAAAAAATGACGATGGTGCAGGGTGTCGACTGCGGCTAGGAAGGGCCTCGCTCGATTTCGATGCTCATGGGATAAATGTGAGCCTGCCCCTGACTTGGTGCCTGGCCTACCTAAAAGGGTCGTTGTGAGGACAAATGCTGAGGAGGAGGGTCACGTGAAGGGAAGGGAAGGGAAGGGAAGGGAAGGGAAGGGAAGGGAAGGGAAGGGAAGGGAAGGAATCACTGGGACGACCTACTCAAAGGCTCTGTCTTTGAGTTTTGCACGAACAGCTCTCCAGGCTGTGGGTCAAAAGATGTTGTGCAGCTGATTTGTGTTGTCCTCCCAGATGTGGTTGTTTTGTGAGGAGAAAGAATGGCAAAGGGGGAGGGGGATGTGGGAGGGCTGCCAGAGCCGGATCCTGACAATTGCGTGAATGCAGCCGAGGGCTTGCACAATAGATGCCTCAATAGATGCCTCGTTTGTAGGAATCTTCTGCCTTAGGACTTCAGAGACTAAAGCTACGGGGTGGGGTGTGATAGGAAATCGTTCCCATCCCACTGAAATGAAAAATGTAAAGTCTGAGGCCACGCTCTTTTTCCAAAAGGGAAACGGGGCTGTTGTTGTTCTCCTGCCCTTGATTGTGGCCAAGTTTCTTTCTGCAACGCTACGTTATATAAAATATGGAGCGTTCACAGAAGGTGGAAATAGTATTGGCTGAGGATGAAAATGGAATTGGCTTTGGGGGAGTCAGGCAGGGAGCGCAAGCATCCCGATGCTTGTCTGGGCTCCAGGAATCTCATCACGGTTCCAAAAATATTTCAAACATGGTTAACCAACGATCGCTGAAGTACTGTTGGGAAGGGAAGGGTTCTCTTTGAGCCGAAGAGAGATGGGTCTTTTGCATAGCCTCCACCCGTAGGGCCAGGGTCTTGAGGGAAGTGGAAAATGCCAAGACTACCTTGATGATTTACGCTAATTAGTTCCCGGTGATGATGGAGAACCAGATGGTGGGAAATCCCTTTTTCTGCCTGAGATTGCGGAGTAGTCAGGCAGTGGTATCGGGCTTCATGGCGACAAAGCTCTTGGCCTTTCTAATGAATTGCTGGGCACCTGCCACCCTCCTCTCCCCTCAAGCGTCGCTGCAGTCTCAAGGTGATAGGAAGACGGGGTGGGAATTAATTTCCCCAGCAACGCTGGATGGCTCAGTCGCCAGCAAAATATTTTGGGGAGGTGTGCTCTTCCAGGGCAATCCCGACCCATCTGCTTTGTAAAAGGCCAGCTCTTGAAAGCTGATGGGAACCATTCAAACTGGATTATACTGGAGCCTCACCCAGCTGCCTGCCGTTTTGGCCTCCCCTGGGGAAGGTGGTGGTGGGGTTGTTGCGATTCAGCACCTGCATGTCAGAACTGACCATGATGCTGCCAGTTTGGGGCCCAAACTTGTCTTCCCCAGCCTGGATTGCAACTCCCATCTTCCCCAGTGGGAGAAACCAGGCTGACCTATGTTTTAAGGGGGCTGCCAGGCTGGCTGGAAGAGAAAGCGATGGACAGGAAAAAATGGACTGCCTGGGGGTTGAACAGTCAGCCGTGCAGGGTTGGGGAAACACCCCAGAGAAGGGGGAGCGAAATGCAGCTTGGATTACCTCACAAATGTAGACGGGGGCGGTGGCAGGGCCCGGTGCAACACGGCCAAAGGCTGAGGAAGTGGTCCCGGGCACGGCTGACCTTCCCGGGCTTGTTACTCGAGCCGCTCACGAAGGTGGCTGCCAAGGGGAATTGCTCCAGACATCTGTGAATACTTAGGGGGCGAGTGGGAACATTGCTGCTCCAGAGGGGAATTTGGTGCTGGAGCTGGGAAAGGCTCCAGTCGCCCGGCCTGTAAGAACGGTTCTGCCCTGGGCTGAAGCCGGCTGGGAGAAGCACCCACAAGGGGAATGCCTCTTCCAAGCAGAGGGTGCTGTCCCCTTCTCTCTGTCTCCTCCCCGTTCCTGCCCCTCATACCCTCAGCAATGTTTAAACACATGAGGGAGAATGCCTCTTCTCTATGTGTGGGGGAATCCCTCTTCTGAGATGCGGCATTCCTCTTCCTTCTGCAAAGGAAGGGAGATTGGCTGCAAGACGGATGCTGTTTGCGGTTTTATTTTTCGAAAAATGGCTTCTTGAATGCGCACGCAGTTCTCGAATGCACCACTTCCTTCCCCCACAAAGCAGGCAGCTCTCCTCTAGGACCTCCACAAGCCCCACACGCCTTGAGACCCTCGATCAATACATCTTCAGGATGTAACGAACCCAGAGGATGTATTTGGAGATACGGGTGTAGATATCAGGGTACCTACGGTCCCCACATCGCTTGCCGTTGAAGGACACGATCCCTTGAACTCTGCTCCCGCAAAGGAGGGGTCCACCGGAGTCACCCTGGGAAAGAGCAAGGAGGAAATTAGGCAAGTGGCCAGGGATCTTGGTGGCCTAAGAGCGGCTGAGATTCCACTCTTGCGTGACCCGACTTTGCGGCTGCAATACCGCCTTCTGGCCATCAGCCGTGTGGAGGCGCTGCTGGGCATCGGAGAGAAGGGTGCCCCCCCAAAGTTTCTCAGGAGTCCCCTTGGGAGATGCTGGCTTGGGCCAATCACAGTCTCTTAGCCAAGGCTACCTCACAGGGTTGGTGTTAACCGAACATATGGCACAGAGGAAAAGATAACCTCTCTGCCATTTTCGTTTCCTTGGGGGAAAGGTGCAAGATATGCATAATTAGTAACAACAGTTAACCAAATTGTCTTCCAGGTGTTTCGGACATCCACTCCCATCAGCCCCAATCAGATGCCTGACTTCCAGGGATGATGGAAGGGGTAGTCCAAAACAACTAGAAGACACCCATTTGGGGAAGGCTGGCATGAGTTTTTTGCTTTGCATCGCCCCACGGAAGAGGAGCACGTTCTGCAGCTGGACTAACCTCTCCAGTGAGCTCTCAAAGTTTCACCGAGGGACCTTGCCTGCAGCTAAAACACAGCCCCCCGATGCTTCATCTGACCAACGTTTTGGACTTTCCTCTATTTTTCCCCATGCTCTGACTTTTGGACCACCTCGCCTGATGTAGAATTCTGAAGTACTTAGAAACAGAGAAGCAGAGCGAGTCAGAAAGGGCCTCCCGGGCCATCTAGTCTGACCCCAGCTGCAGCCAGCTCTGCTCATGACATGCCCACCATGTGCATGTCTAGCCTATCCTTGAACACCCGCACCGATGGGGCCTCAACCACCTCCCGGGGAAGCCCAGTCCACACCCTGGGGGTCCTGACTGTCAGGAAGTGCTTCCCAGCATCCAAATTGAACCTGGGTTCCCTGAGCTTTGCTCCGTTGGAGCGCCTCCTGCCCTCCTGTGGAAGGGAGAACAGGTCTCTGCCCACCTCCGTGTGACACCCCCTCACACACCTGTATGTCACCAACAGATCCGCTCTGAGTCTCCTCTCCTCCAGGCTGAAGAGACCCAGTTCCCTCAGTCTCGCCTCGTACGGCATCCCCTGCAAACTGGCCACCAGCCTTGTGGCCCTACGCTGCACTGACTCCAACCCTGCTTACTTGCACACAGTTTATTTATTTAAAGTTTTTATATGAGGTCCCCTTGCTATATAGCCTCGGGATGGCTCACAGAAATAAGCTCACTGTTTAGGGCTTCCTATTTAAGGTTTAAACCCTGATGCTGGCAACGACTGACGTCAAAAGGAGAAGGGGGCGGCAGAGGATAAGGTGGCTGGATGGGGTCACTGGGGTCGTGGGTGTGGGCTTGGGTGGCCTCCGGGGGATGATGGAGGACAGGAAGGCCTGGAGGAATGCTCTTCATGGAGTCGCGATGGGTTGGGCACAATTTGCGACTCAACAAAAAAATTAAGGTTTTTGTGGGATTTTCTCTCTCTTGGACCAGGACAGCAATGCAAAGGTTGCAAAGTTACCACTGCCAGCTCCAGAGCATTCTGGGCTGGGCTGGGAGATCTCTTGGGTCACTCACTGAGCAGAACCCTCGCAGGGCGGGGCTCGTGTTGGCCGCACAGAGCATCCCGTTGAAGACGTTGCCGGCCCACGAAGCGTTGCACGCCTTCCTGTCCACAATGGTCACGTTGGTTTCCATCAGCTTGGTGGGGATGGTTCCGAAATTCGAGATGTCCCCCCAGCCGGTCACTTGGCACCTGACTCCAGGGTGGGGGTCGGTGTTCATTCTGGGGAGCCTGATGCGCCGGACATCCCGGTTGAAGATGACGGAGCCGTTCAGCTGGAAGCGGAAGGGTGGGACATGGCGCCATCTCAGCACTCGTGCGACCGCTCGCCTGGCCTCCTGCAGCACTGGAGGATTGGCTGTGGGTTGCCACTGAGCCGTGGGGGCGTGTGCTGCCTGACCCCCACTGTGCTAACAAGCCCTGGCTTCTTAATCATGGACCACGGGCCCTGGCCCTCAAAGCCAGGTAATTACCAGCCAATGGGTGGGTATTCAACCTGACGAGGCTGGGCAACTTTGACCGTGCCCCGATACTCCACCAGAGAAGCAGAGTTAGCTCAAATCAAACCGGCAGTGTCTTGTGGGAAGTTCCCCTCTTAGCAAATGCAGGAAAGCCAGTAAGGCAACAGGGCCGGCTCACCCCACTGCGTTACGAAGAGCCCAGCGGGCTCAGACCTGTGCAAGCCGCATTGTGCTTACACAGTGGCCAACCAGCTGCCGGAAGGGAAACTCCCACCCATGTTCCCCAGCAAACAGGCATGCTGCCTGTGATACCACGGCTCTACAAATTTGGGGAAATTATCGACCTCCGAAATAAAAAGTGCTAATTCTCACATATTTTGATTAGAGGAATTAGAAAACAGGTGATAAAAGTGCTGGTTGGCTAAAGTTTTCAAGATATTTCACAATGAAGATTAATACATATTTGCCTAAAAGGGGTGTCTGATGATCGCGATGCCTCATAACTTCTCGACAAAGTACCGCAGAACAATGAAAATTGTACCACATGGAAGTGTGTAAATTCATCTTCAGTTTGAGACTAAAGGTTATTACCCAATTGTAATTTATTGTTCTTTTATGGCAAGGTACATCTGTCTTGGTCAGATCTACGCATATTACAGTTACATCTGGTGGCTTGTGAAAGGGTCATTGCCTAACATTTCCAAGGAACAGTTGTGTGATATTTTCCCTCAGAGGCCAAGATACCTCAAAACTGTGTAAACAACGCAGATATCTTCTGCTGCATTTGTGGCGAGGTGACGTTTGCATCTCAAAAGTGCGGTAGGACGGCAGTGGTGGAAAAGGCAGACCGCCTGTATTTTGGGTGCAAAGTAGGGGCTCAGGACAAGAGTTGGGCCCCTCATTCTTGTTGTATTACATGGGCAACTGATCTGCGTCATTGGCTGAAGGAGAGGAAAAAGCCCACGCCTTTCGCGGTCCCAGTGGTGCGGAGGGAATCCACCCATTGTAGTAGCAACTGCTATTTTTGCATGGTTCCCCCAAATGCAAAAGGGATCTCAAGAAAGAAGAAGTGGACCGTGGAATATCCAAACATTCCACCCGCACTGCGTCCTCTGCCCCATGGTGAGGACTTGCCACTTCCACATCCACCAGAATCCCACTCTCTAGACTCAGAGGATGATAAAGACAATGAGCTTGTCAGTTTTTCATGCAAAAAGCATGAAAATGTTACATGAAAAACCAATAAATGAATGGAAAGTTATGTTACTGGTATCGATAAAGAGATAAATTTGTAATGGTTGGTGTGGCACCATTCTCATTGCTACATCGCATTTTGCAGAAAAGTTATGCAGCAGAATCACACCCCCCTGCAATTTTTAATTATTTTGATGCAGTGTTGATCTTGGAAACTGGAGCCAATGAACACTCAGGACTCAACTTTCCTTTATTAGTGACCCAAATCTGGTAAAATTTAGCTACTTTCATTTCCGAGGACTAGCAGACAGGCTCCTCCATGAACATGTCCAACCTGCTCTTAAAGCTGTTGATGTTGTGGGCCCATCGCAATGTCATGTGGAAGCGAATACCACATTCTAACTCCCTGCTAACAGATTTTCCCACCCTGTAGCCTGAATCTCCCACCAACCAGCTTCATGGGATGGCCTTATTCGAGTTCTGGTATTATGAAAGAAAGGAGGAAGAGTCTCCCCCTCCATTCAGGCCCTGCACCCAGCATAATTTCATATACCTCCGTCACCCCTCTCCTCACTTGCCTTTTTTGCTCAACAGTCCCAGGCATTGTGGCCTCCCTTGCAGGAGAGTTGTTCCAGCCCCATTAATTTCAGCTGCCCTTCTCCCATACCCTTTCCAAGATGCACCAACCCAAAGTGTCAACTCCAGCTGTGCCACACATTCATTTTAGGGCTGACGATACCGGCCGCTTTAGGTCCCAAACCTGCTCTGCATATGCCCCGCACGGACTCTGTTTTCCATCGCAGCCTGACATGGTGCTCCATCCTTTAGGCTCAAAGTGGCGTAGGGTAGTTTTTCTGCACATGAGGAATTCCCCCCCGCTGCCGAAAAGCTTGCAACGGGACTCTGAAACCCCAAGATAAATTGGGTGGAGAATTTCAGAAGCAACCCTCGGCTCGGCTTGTTTCAACCAAGGGACTGCATGGATGCACAGGTATTAATTCCTCCATCCCATCCCAAGGCCTTGCCTTGCCTTGCCATCTAGTGGCCAATTTTTCTATGACAGAAAGATCAGTAATAATAAAAAATAGAGACTTGAAGCAATCAGATAGCATTATGTGCTTTGGATCTGATCGTTTCTTACAGCTTCTTCTGTGTGATGACCTCCCGGATTTGCTTCTGGTTTTCAGCAGGGGAGTTGTCATGGGCGGGGGGAAACTGAATACAGTACAAGAAAGCCCTCCTTCTACTTCTGTATGTGCTATGTGGCCCTTCCCCAGCGCCACTAAGAGGTTATGTAAGGCTGGAACCTCCTTTCTGGGGCAAACTGAAAGCAGATGCTGCAGCTTGTGGGAGTTCTCTGCACACACTTGACAGGACTGTAAACAGACAGAGGCTTTTGTTTGGTCGTTGCCCTGCCTGATTCACGAGAGGTTTACACATCGCACACAGCGGACAGATGCGAACGCTCGTCCCCGCTTCCCACTCACTTTGAGCAAGCGGATGTCGTTCCGCACCGTCCCGGCGTCATAAAGGGGGTGAGCAACCGACTGCTGGATGCCGAAGGTTTGCCGTGAGGCCTCGGGCGTCTTGAGGGAGTGAGCGCCCAGCACAATGAGGAAGGGTTGCTGCCTGCAGTTGCAAAATGGAAAGGGTTAGAAGTGGCAGTATTTCCCCACTCCAGCAGGGAAGCGATTTATTTATTTGCAATGTTTTTACCCCATCCTGGGGTTGGCTTGCGACATAAATAAATCATAACAATAAGCAAACGAACAAAAGACAATAACGTAACGAGCATAACAGAATGTGACTGAGGATGACCATATTAAAAACCTTGTTAAAATATTTAAATATTAAAATGCTGGACAAATAAAATGGTTTTTACCTGGCGCCAAAAGGAATACAGTGGTACCTTGGCTTAGGAACGCCTTGGGTCACGAACAAAAATTTCATGAAAATTTTGACTGGGGTCACGAACTCTGCTTTGGGTGGCGACCAAGATCGCAGCCATCTCCCCTTCCCCGCAAGTGGGGAGATGGCCGGGATCGCAGCCGCGTTCATGCCGGGGAGACGTGCGTGACCGCGGCTGCGCTGCGCCCGTCCTGCCTGCAGGAGCGGGCCCGTGCCAGGGTTTCTCTGAGAAGCGCCACCCCGACATAACTGTAACGAGCAGAGTGTTGAATCTGATGAACGACAACATGGTCTCTCATTTCCAGAGGGTTATGCAGCACAGGAAAAACAAGAGACTATAGACAGATTTTTCACCAAAATTGACCCTGCGGCTAAGAGACAAAGAGAGGAAACCCCTGAAAGAGATTTCCCCAGTGTCCTTCTGGAGGGGGACTCTCCCTCCAAACAATAACCTTCCCCCCCCCGCTCCGCCTAGGTTAGTGTTCTCCACTGTACATTACTTCGTTACTTTGCTATTCGTTGTTTCAAATTTGTCTGATTAAAAAAATAATGGTTACAGAACAGATTAACCTTATTTGCATTGAACCTTATGGGGGCATTTGACTTGGGTCACAACCAATTTGGGTCACGACCAGAGTCATGGAACGGATTAAATTTGTTTAACATTGGTGCCAGGCGAACCTCTCTGGGGAGCGCATTCCACAGCCGGGGCGCCACCGCAGAGAAGGCCCTGCTCTGGGTAGTCGCTCTCCTGACCTCCTTCAAGGAGGGATCCCGGAGCAGGGCCTTGCTGCAGATCTTCAGGGGTGGGAGGGCATATAGGGAAGAAGACGTTCCTTCAGGTATCCTGGTCCCAAGCCGTTTAGGGCTTTTGGGCAATTGGGATGGGACAGCCTAATAAGGCATCTGTCGTGGGCCCGTATCCCACAGAGCCCCACGGACAAAAGTCCCAGGACTGGGGCTGCTCTTTAGCACCACAACCCAGTTGTTCACCTTTGATCCAATCCGTAAGGGCAATTTTCTCCTATCTTTGCTGTGCTACTTGTAGATCAGGGCTGACCCAAATCTTGCAGAGGTTAGGACCAAGCCCCAAATGCATGCCCAAAGGAGCACAAAAGTAAAGTTTAAAGCCCAGAGCTGCTACCAGTAAAGTAAACTTTAAAGCAGAGCTGCTTTAGAGCCCAGAGCTGCTACTGAACGGAGCCAGAATTGCTCAGACAGTTCAGTTACTGGGTCAGACATGAATGCAGCAAGCAAATAAACAAACACACACGAGTAACTAAAAACACTGCAGTTATTCCTGGGAAGATCCTGGATGGTGTCAGCTTTGGCTTACTGTTATATACTCTAGTCCTAGCCTCATTGAGGATGGTGGGCATTGTAGTCCAATGCTTTGGGAGAGTGTCAGGCTGGGCAAAGGCAGTTGAGACATCTTTTAGTACGGTTGAAGGGGATGAATGAAGGGCAAGATTGCGAAATGGCGGTGGGGTTAGAACAAAGAAGCGGAGGCCAGACCAGACAAAGAACTTGCCCAATTTCACCCTTCCACCAACAGACAGTCACCCTGAGGTCTGCGGCTCAGGGAGGGTGCAAACCTCGCTGGCAGCCGGATCTCTTCAACATTCCTTGTGCCACGAGGCTGACATGTGTGGAATGATGTGTCTGCATCTTGTGGGTGCAGAAAGGAATTTCTTTCTTTGTCATTGTCACCTGGGGCCAATGCACATTTGTGGCGAAAAGGCTTTCTCCACGCTTTTCCGATCCTGCAGATGTATGATCCAGCGGTGGTGCAGAACCGTTTTCAGCCTGAGGGCTGAAGTTAGAAGACACCCCCTTCCAGTGGTGGGTGGAACCAAAATGCAAGGAAAAAAAAAATGCTCTAGGAAGTTTAAAGCTTTCCCTGTACTAACTAGTCCTTTGGAAAGGTGCCTTGAACTATTCAGTGGGTAAAAACTTGTGTGAAAGCCAGAAAGCCCCAGTGTTTGGGGGGAAGTGTGTGGCCTGGTGGATTGGGACCACATGCCTTTCTTTGTCATTGTCACCTGGGGCCACAGGTTGGGATTGGGACATTTCTCTACCTGTGCAATAGAGAGCAGACAATATTTTATTTTGCTGTGGAGGTTTGTCGAGTGGACCGTCTTTCCAAGTTTTGCACAAATCGGGAGCTGCAGACTGACGCACGCTCCGTTCCGTCTGGCTCTTACTTACTTGGAAATCAGGCAGTGAGCTGCCGTCATCACCCATTTGCGTCGCACCAAAAACCCACCGCAGATATGCTCCCCATTCATCTGTATGGACGCCATAAAGGGCCGGGAATGGGGCACCGCCTCCTTTCCCCCAATAACCCAGCTTCGGGAGAGGCTGCCGGCAAGTCCGAGACCTACGAGAGAAAAGGTGCCATGCCATGGAATTCCAGCTCCCTGGAAGATGGCAGTTGGACCCCCGGGGGCCATAAAATCACCCCAGAGGCAAATATCCCTTTCCATAGTGCCATTTGGAGTTTGTGGGGCAAGACAGACTGTCCCGCTAAAAGAGAACAGAGGAACAGTTTAAAACCAGGGTTGGGATGTGAGTTTTGAGAGAGAGGAGAGGGCCGTGGGCTGAGGTGCTGGTTACACAAAGAAGCTGCAACTCTGGGGCTATCATTCATGTTTCCCCATTTATATTGCTTTGGTGGTTGCGCCCCGCCAGTCCAAGACCATTTCCCCAAGGCAACTGAGGAAGGATAAAATAAAAAATAGCTTGACCAAGTCCAAGGTGGAGGCGAGACTCGGGGTCCAAGATGCAAAGGCTCCGATACAGAGGGTCCCGTATGCCTGCCTCTTTTATTTCTTTAAAATGTCTGCCTTAGCACGAGGCAGAGTTTTGCCTGTGCCACACGGCTTCCCCTAAGCAGCTCCTCTCAGCCGTGCGGAAGATGCAAATGCAGTCAGAAAAGGCAACTTTGGTATCTTAAAGATGTCTGGGACAACAAGCCCCATCTTTCCTGACCCTTGGCCATGTGGGACTTGTGTTCTAATCATCTGCTGGTCCCAGATGTAAGATCTAGCAGCAAAGCTGTACCACGCTGCACCCCAAATGCAAGGCAAGAGGGTTTTTTTACCTGCCTGGAGCAGGACGAGGGGAAGCAGCTTCCTCACGAGCAGCATCGTCAAGGTTTGGGCCATCTTCGTGGAATTGGAGCTGCACTAGGTCAAAGCCGATGTCACTTCAGCGGCCAACCAGTCCAGAATGGGAGCGACTTCCTCAACCAAGGAACTGGGTTTTTCTTAGCCGAGTGGAAGTAGGTGCTAGCCTGGGGAGCCCTCCAACAGTAAGCCAGTCAGCTCTTCCTCTTTGACCTGAGAAGCTCCAGGGAAGGAGTTGCACAAGCGAGCAACTGACATGGTTTTCCAAGCCAGCCGTTTGCCCAATTCCTTCCCTCAAGGCCTCCTGGTTGAAGAGAGAGGTTTCCGTTGGATTGTAAGGAAAGGGAGAACTGGTGGGTAGATGTTACTTTTGCAAATTTTAGAGTTAGAAGCAACTGCTTTAATGGGGAGGTGGGGAAGGGAAGAGAGACCCTCTGGTCCATAATGTGCGATATTTCCTTCCAAGCCCCCTAAAGCAGCTCCACTGAGTTAGGGGGAGGAGAGGGGCTTATCTGCTCACTCTGCGGCATTCAGTCCAAACATTTATTGGTGTGAATTAGCTGAAGACACGGAATACAAAAATGTTCCTTATCTTGGTGGATATTTTAAGTGATGGGTTTTTCAAGTGACGCAGTTCCTCGTTTTGGCAATTCCTAGGGGGCTGCCATGAACACAGGCAAAACGCTCAGGGGCTTATTCTTGCTCTGAAGGGTTGGTGGTGACAAACTGCGGGTAGAGAATATCAGAGCAAAATTGCAGAAATGCAGCAAATCTTTTTGTGCATTCGGCTCTGGTCCAGACAGGATAACACTCAGAGATGCTTCCTAAATTCAGCTCACTGTGCTGGTTCAGCAGAGAGCAGCTTGAAATCTCGGTTCGGATCATCCTGGCTGGCACTGTACTTAGACCCGACCCTTTCACTTCTGCAAAGGACCCAGATTGGCTGTCAGGACCCTACTCCTCTTTCTCCTCTCCATTTTCACAACAACCCTGCGAGGTATTTCAGGCATCTGACAATGGCCTAAACCGTTTGCCGATTGATTGCCTCAAAACAAAAGACGCAAGAAGCTGCCTTGCAGCCCATCAGACCCGGGGAGTCTGTGGGCTTCGTCTCGCCTCCTTTGAGTGTCAGCAGCTCTCCTGCAGCTCCCCACCCCAAGTCCTTCAGCCTGACACGCTGCAGGTGGAACCCGGTCCCTCAGTACAATGGCCACCAACATGGATGGCTTTCAGCCACCCTAGGACAGGTCGGGCCACGGCTGCAAGACACGATGGGAACACCCCGCTCCCGATTCAGAGATCTCTACAGACCAGTTGCTGAGGAATATGGGTGGGAAGGAACTTGGCCTTATTGGCGGCAGCGGCAGCATGGGATTTCCTCAGCCAGGATGACCAGACGGGCCCTTTCACACGCTGCAGCTCAGCTCTTCTTGGGTACATCTTACTATTCTTGTGAGCTGTTTGGAAACAAGTTGCAGGACAGACGTTTCTTTTTCAAGCCAGCGGCCCAGCTCAATCCATCACCTCAAGACGTCGTTACCTTGAGCCAGAGAAGTTAACGACAACAAAAGAAATAGGCCAGGGAGGGGGGAAATAACAAGACCAAACCAGGAGCAATTTCCACCTGCCTATTTTATTAGATAGTTCCAAAAATAAAGGATGCCAAAAAGAGGGACATTGCAATGAGAATGCTTTTTCTTGCCTGGTCCTAGATTTGAATACAGAAGTCACACGAGTCCAGTCCCCCTTTCCAAACGAGAAAATGATGGATGGGGAGGGTGGAGGGAAGGGAAGAATCTCAAGCTTAAGGGATTGTCCTCTTAGGATCAGGCAAGAGAACAATGAAACACTGAAATCCTCATAAATAAACGGTTTAATAAATTACACAGTAAAAACAATGGCATGAGGCTTGGTTACACCTGGTGGAGCTTAAATCGGAAACGGAACTGCACCCAGAAACTGCCCCATCCATTAACAGACGGCTCTGGAAGCAGGATGGAGGCAGTATGGGGGATCCCCTCCCAGAAGGAGGAGCGGCCTGGCTGATCTTGGGGCTCCTAATGTGCCACATGTTCACCAAAGGGCCCGGGAAAGAGACTGGCGGAGGCGGAGAGGAAATGCCGCGGAGAGGAAACAGTCGGCAGCTAACGGAGGGAAGGTCCTCTGGGACCGAGCATATGCGGTGGAGCTTTTTGAAGACTGAAGAACAGCAATTGAAAAGGAAGGACATACATGCAACTCCACAGGACGAAGAGAGTCGAGGTCTCTACCCTAAAGACCGAGAAGCTGTCGGGAGACTTTAGACCAAGGAGTGGACAAGCCAAAGGATCCAACTCCCACTTGCCGAGAGCACCCAGAGAGGACCAGCTGCCACCCCTGGCAAAGTTTAGACGAACAAAGGGTCACATGGCTCATAGGATAAGTTACGGGGTGGTGGCAGATGCAGAATCACGCGCAGAAGGGAGGAAGCATTTTGATCGAATGCCTTCGGGTATACATTGGAGAGGACTGGCCTCTCGTTTTACATCAAAGGCTACGCTGGGGTCACACAGCTTTATCATACCCACTGATTGACACCGGAGAGGGACAAAGCAGATCTCTGGGACAAAAAGCCATTTGTGACTCAATGAAGCCATAAAAAAAGACACATGAGAATTAACGAATCCACTCTGGAGTTTCTCCCTGCAGCCACGGTTTCATCCCCAGATCCGGTACATTCTTTGTACAAAGCATGTAACAGAGCACAGACGTAAAAAAGAGAGACAGAGGGAGAGAGGAGACCGTTTCACAAAAACAAAAACCCCCAAACAAAATCAGAAAAATAGAGATATCATGTATATACACACACTTGGGTCTAAGGTAGACATCTAAAATTGTTGCATCAGGCCTTGCTCCTGCCGGCTTGCGGGCTGAGCTGTCTCCCTGTTGAACGTGGGAGGGGAGTTGGGGGTCCTTGAGGTCGGCATGGTTCTGGGGCGGGGAAGGGAAGGTGTGCCCCAACCAAGGGAGTCCAAGGGGCCTGAGGAAGACCAGGAGCGCTCCGCCGGGCGTAGCCAAGCTGAGGAGACCAGCAGGCCAGCCTGGCTGAGGAAGACTGGGCTGGGAAAGTCCGCCGGGGAAACCGAGTCCTGTGCAGCCGCCACAGTACCGAAGCCCGTGGGGCAATCCCTTTCAGGGAAGGAAGGAGAGAGAGCACTGGGGGTCGCTCTGCACCACAGCCGGAAGGGGGCCGATGGCCACAAGGAGAAGGGGTCAGGGGATAACGACACAGGTGGGGTGCACAGGCCCCGAAAGGCTTGCTGATGAGAGTGGAGCAGATTCTTCATCTTGTGCCCAGGAAGAAGGAAAGAAAGCAGCAACGCTGCCCTCCAGATGGAGATACGGGACTGCGACTTCCATCGCCCCCACCTGCAGTCCCAGCCTAAAGAGGAAGCTTAGAAAATCAGACCGCCGTTTCTATGAGGGGGAGCGGAAGGAACTGGAGCTGATGGCGGCCACCGTGAGGGGTGCCCACGGGCCCGGGACCCGACCGGCTACCACATGAACACACAGAGCTGCGTTTCTAACTGCCACATGTCCCAGGGCCTGAAGGAGACAATGGGAATTCGGGAAATACTGCCATCTAGAAGCCAACCAAGCTGTGGGTGCTGGATGGATCAGACACCCTGCTAGGCTCGTGCCTTCATCGCAAAGCAGAACTGGGCTGCTTGTCCTAGGCCAGGCACAGCATGCGATCTCAGCTAGCCAGAGCATGTGCAGAGAGCCTCCAATTCGCCCCCCTTTTTCCTGGCAGCAAAGGGCTTGCCTAGGCAAGGAGAGGTTCGAGATGGCCCTGGGCAACATGCTATCTCCAGCTGTCAGTTGGCCTTGGAAAAATTGCTCTTCTGGCCTCTTTTCTGGATTCCCCCCAATGTCTCAAGGTGATAGACTGCCCAGTTTTGCTTGGAGCAGCAGCTCACAAAAGCACCGAAGGAAAGGATCAAGGATGCTCCTTAAATCTCATCTTGCCCCGGCACTGCTGTGAAGGAAGGGCATAAAAAGATGCCTGGAGGAAAGCAGGCGCTGTATCCGGAGTGGTCAGAAAAGATGGCGATGAACCCATCCAACGAAGAAGCTGAACCTTGGAGGTCTCAAGAAAAACAGAAACCCTAAACTGAAAAACTTCCACCCCACATCAAGGGAAGTGCCAAGCCCGGGCACCTTGCCACTCAAGCTATCCAAGTGGAAAACTATGCTCTATGGATTTGCGCTTGTGGAAAAGAATCTGGCACAAACTGGGCGGCTCAGGAGGCACTTCTGAGGCCTCGCAGGGGCTAGTGGGGCGCAGAGAGAAGTCATGCTGATTCCTAAAAGGGCGTTTTCACCTTTGTGTCTTTCTGGCAGTGGTGCAAGAGATGTGTCGCTTCAGGGAAGCCTCCTGGAGGCTCTGCAGCTGCTGCCCCTGCAAGACAATCTGAGGGTTCCCACTCAGCCTTGGGGTTCTGCGTCACGAGCCACTGGTCCTACCTGAAGCATCCCAAAGCATGCAGAGCCTTGCTTTCCATCAAGCTAAGCATGGAGTAACAATTCCCCACTCATCAGATGGAAAGGTTTGCAAGAGACAAGTAGACACCACCTTAGAAGAAAGTATTGTTCTAAAAATTAAATCTCAGGAAGCGCTTAAGCTTCACCTCTGCTCTGTCAGACTAGGGAGTGTTATTTGTACAAGGACCTTTGTAAAGATAAGGATCCGAGGTCTCTCACCACGTGGTGAGACTTCCCTGTGCACTAAAAGGGATGACAGAGGTGGAGAGGCCCTCTTAGTTCCTCCAGTTTGCAAGAGCAGCCGGTTTGCAGGAGTCAAGCATCAAATTTCAAGCCATGAGGATGAGTGATTCAGAAGCGCTTGTTTCTGGTGGGGAGGGGGGTGTAGATTTTGGGACCTGGCCATCTGCAGTGATTTTCTGGCTTCTTCTGAATACTGCTCTGATGAGGCCTTTGCTTTGGAAGAGCTGCTATTTAGAGAAGATCGTGTCCCTCCCACCACACATGCGAAGGACTCCCACGTGTCCCGTCAGAAAAGAGGGGATAGAATGATCCATGCACACGCTTTTGCACTGGCATGAGCTGCGGGAGCTCCAGGATGTGATTGGGTCCATCATCTTAAGAGGCTGACTGAGAACTTGGCCGGGACCAGGCACGCCAAGATAAGGGCGGCCACCTGCCTGCTCTCCCACACACAACGCAACCTCCCCTCACCCAGACTTGAAAGCAGTTGGCCAGCAGGGGCCACAGCTGTTGCTTTTAGGGCCAGCAGATACGGAGCTGCCTTCCCCAAGACTGAGAAGTTTCGCTAGACCTGAGCCGCCTGGAAAAGGGAAGAAGCCCGAACCCTCCGAGCAGCCCTGCTTGTTTCTCTTGCAAAGCTCTCCCCTTTCTGAGCTGCCCATCGAAAGCCCGGGAGGCACCCGCGATTCCTCCTGCCGGCCACGTCCTGGGGATGAAGCCAACCCGGCCCGCACCTGGAACACAAGGGCAGCGCTTCCTGCACGTGTTGTCCCTGGACCAGACCAGAGCCACTCTGCAAGGGCTACGGCACAAGAGCCTACGGAATTGCTTTGGGCAGAAAACAGGCCTCCAAGACCCCGAAGGAGTGGGGCAGGCCCCCCCACCTCTCACTCCCCTTCCCTCAGGGAGTTCAATCCTCCCAGCAGCCTGCAGCTCTGTGTTGTGTCAAAGCCAAGAGGGGCCGTTCTGCTAACTGCACCAGCGGAAGAAGGATCTGCGTGCCGGGGGTATGAGGGGACCGGCCCAGGAGGTACGGGAAAAGCTCCCAGGAGGCACCTGCTCACAGCCTGCTGTGCTTCTGCCGAAAGAGCCGGGTTTCTCCTTCCTTGCTAATGCAGACAGAGGCAGCCCAAGTGCCCAGCCCTTCTGCACCCCCATCCATCTCTCTGCCAGGCTGTCTCCCTCTGCTCAGGGGCGTGTGGGGCACCGGATCCCTCCCACCAAGCGACCAGGGCTTCCGGGATGACAAAGCGACGCTGCGCCGCCCCACTATGCAAGCAGAAGGACGCATTCTCCTCGTGCCCCCAAAGTGCAGTAAACCAAATGCTTAAATAAAGCACAAGATAAATGAAATAAATACATGATTTTAAAAAACCCGACATTCACAGTATCACAGATAGGTAGCTACTATAGTGCATTTTTGGGGAGAAATAACATATTTATACATATATATAAGTGAGAGAGAGAGAGAGCACTACCCAGAGTTCATGCCACCTTCCTGCTCTGGGTTTCTCTGGGCCCTGGAGTTGCTAGGAAATACACCGTGGAGGGGAAGGGAGGGAGGGAGGGGGGAGGGAGGGACGAAAGGCTGCTCAGCCCCATCCTTCTGACACACAGTTTGGGGTCTGCCCGCGCCGAGGCCACGGGTTCTTCTCCGCGTTCGCTGCGCGCTGGCTGGGCTGCTGAATGGCGTCTTCTCAGGGCGGGCCGGCTGGGGTTGCATAGACGTTACTGCGAGGGGAGCAGAGAGAAGGCAGTGAGAGCGCGCCGCCAGGGCTTTGTCTTCCCACCTGGCGGGGAGCCGAGCTGCGGGGTGGGTGCCTGCAGAGACGATGCGCCTCTTCTGAAGGTCCTCGGCGGCACAGGCATCCCGGGGGAGCTGCTGGGCTTGGGAAGGTACAACCCCCGGTTCGCCGGACTGCAGAAAAACCCCACGGGGCCAATTTCCTTGAAATCCCACCTCGTGCCGGGATCCCCGGCCCACTGCTGAGAATCAGCTCAGCTCCTGGCCTATTTGTGCTTTCCCCATCCCGACGAGCGCACTCTGCACATGCCCAGAAGTCCTTCATTTCTGCAGTGGGGCAAGGGTGGCGAGGAAGAAAAGATGCCAAGGCTCCAACGCACCTGGAGGGATTCCCCAGGTGCACACCCGCTGAATTGAACCACCACCACCACTCTGTCTATAAACTGCCAAACTCTGGTGGTGCTTTAAAGAAGGTGCAAAAAGCTGGCTGTGCGAGCTGGGGCTGATGGGAGTTGAAGTCCAGAGGCACTGGGCATCGCCGGATTGGGAAGGCTGCACAAAGGCATCCACGTTCTTGGGCCAGCCCGTTTCATCCGACCCCAGATCCTAGAGGGGGGACCAGGATCCTAGAATCCCCCCCTCGATTCGGGGGGGGGGCATGCACTGCCCCCTGCTGGTGGGAGGGAGGGCTGGATCCCTGCATTTCCCCCGATTCAGCCATGTTGAAAACAAGACAAAAGCCAGGTATATTAAAAAATAAAACTTACTGTGTCACTCTCCTCATCAGAGACTGACTGGATTTGAGTGTTATAGTGGAGCGGAGAATACACCCAGCTCCTCTCGTCTGTCGGCTGCTGGACCGCAAAGCGGAGAGTGAGGAAGGCGGTGGAGGCGGCAAAGATGGAAAGATAAAGGAAGAAACACAGAAGTGAAGAGTAGACCCTTGACAGGAGCTGCACGGCTGGAGGAGGAGAAAGCAGGAGTGCGGAGAAGAGCCCGGCGGAGAAACCCCTGCTCTCCCGCCCGGGATCCAGGGTTGCACCCCTTCCGAGGGCTCGTGGCATGGAACCTGCACGGCCGAGCCTCATTACCGCCTGGAGCCGGGCTGCCTTGCATGCTGGCCTTCAAGAACAGGAGGCTGTGGCCTGGGGCCGGAGTGACTCCCTCTGCTAAAAAGGGCTGGACGTCGAGAGGGTCTTACTACAACGCTGTTGACTCGGTACAGAAGGAAAAGCACTCTGTACATGTCCTGAGGCACGCCTACCTCAACCTTAATTTCATGTGCTGTGCAAGAAACAGCTCCTGGGGAAGGAGCAAAGTTGGGAAAGAGAGGTACATGAGCGGAACTGGCTCTGTGGATGGGGTAGTCCAAGGCCTTGGGGGCGGGAGTGCTTAAGACCCCAGCCCCAAACGGCCAGCCTCTTCGGAGTAATGGAAGCCACTGATTAAGCTACAATAAAGAGGTCATTCGGAAGAGCAGTGAGTTGGAAGAACTGACATCTCAGCCATCGGAAATGTGCATCTTACACTTTTAAAATGCTGACATGTTTACCCTGGAAGAGCATTCCACTATGTGGGTGCGACAAGTGAGCAGGAGGGCAAATGAGGGAAGAGAAACAAACATGGCGCATGACGTGGCCACAGGGGGGTGCGCAGCAGGAGGGGCAACCTAGCCCCCCCCGTCACCCTCACCCCCGCCCTCCAGAGATCGGCAGAAAAGGCATGGCAGGCAAGCCGGGAGGGTGCGCAAGAGCGTCCACTCCGGCCTTGGAGGACCTGATGCTCCCGGGTACAGCGTGCAAGTCAGCGAGGTGCCGGGGCAAAACTCCGAACTGCCGAAGCGGGTTGCAAGTTTCCCCCTGCCCGCGACTGAACAATGCCCCCGCGAGGCTGAAGCTCTGCTTTGCAGGCCGCTCCCTTCCGTGCGAGAGAAAGCACGGGCGGGCCAGCGGGGGCGAAGGTGGGAAGGCCCCTCCCTGCTTTGACTCTTGCCTTCGCAGGGAGTCTTAGGCCAGCCGGCCGGCCTTCTCTGGACGTTGGTCTCCCCCTTGGAGATTCGGGAAGAAGCCCAACTCAGGTCTCTGCAGCACCGAGAGCGACGGCGGCAAACCTGGTGCCGCACGGCCCCCTCCGCCCCCACACGTGGCATTTCAAAGGTGGGGTCGGGGCTGGCTTCTCAGCTAACACGTTCACTTACGTCCCCAGAGGAAACCGAGGCAGCTCGGAGCCTGCGCAGGCGGGGGGAGTAAATCCAGTACCTTCCCTCTGTGAACTGGATGGCACGCGCCCAGGCGAATGAGAAGGGGTGGGCATGAAAGAAGGAGGGGGAGAAAAAAAATGGGGGGGGGGAGAAGATGAGAAAAAAATGAACAAGCGGGTGGGGAGAACAGATGATGTTTCTGGAAAGGGCAGGCATGCATGAGCATGAGACACGAATGCCCAAGAGGGAGACCACACATGGGAAGAGAGCTCAGCCGCACGAGGAGGGTGTTGCTGGAGCTCAGCCGCACGAGGAGGGTGTTGCTGGAGCTCAGCCGCACGAGGAGGGTGTTGCTGGAGCTCAGCCGCACCAGGAGGGTGTTGCTGGAGCTCAGCCAAACAAGGAGGGTGTTGCTAGAGCTCAGCCGCAGGAGGAGGGTGTTGCTGGAGCTCAGCCGCACCAGGAGGGTGTTGCTGGAGCTCAGCTGCAGGAGGAGGGTGTTGCTGGAGCTCAGCTGCAGGAGGAGGGTCTTGCTGGAGCTCAGCTGCACGAGGAGGGTGTTGCTAGAGCTCAGCCGCATCAGAAGGGTGTTGCTGGAGCTCAGCCGCATCAGAAGGGTGTTGCTGGAGCTCAGCTGCACGAGGAGGGTGTTGCTAGAGCTCAGCTGCACGAGGAGGGTGTTGCTGGAGCTCAGCCGCACGAGGAGGGTGTTGCTGGAGCTCAGCCGCACGAGGAGGGTGTTGCTGGAGCTCAGCCGCACGAGGAGGGTGTTGCTGGAGCTCAGCCGCACGAGGAGGGTGTTGCTGGAGCTCAGCTGCAGGAGGAGGGTCTTGCTGGAGCTCAGCTGCACGAGGAGGGTGTTGCTAGAGCTCAGCCGCATCAGAAGGGTGTTGCTGGAGCTCAGCCGCACGAGGAGGGTGTTGCTAGAGCTCAGCTGCACGAGGAGGGTGTTGCTAGAGCTCAGCCGCAAGAGGAGGGTGTTGCTGGAGCTCAGCTGCACGAGGAGGGTGTTGCTGGAGCTCAGCTTCCCCTGATCTTCACTGCCAGAAGACGCACACACAAAATCTGGGCTTAACTTCGAGAGAAATTTTTCTACCCATTCGTATGGATCCTTACAGATGACAGGTGTTTTTAAGAACCGCCATCAAAATGTGCTCCTTGCCAGTGCTGGTCTTGGCCTCTGATCTTCAGAGGGAGGCATTCCTCACCTTCCCATTTGACAAGAGGATCTCGGCTCCCTTCCCTGCTCTTTTTTTTTTTTTTTTTTTGAAGCCAAGCTCCTAGTCCTTATGAGTGTGAAGGGACACGCACACACAACCCCTCATAAATCTCAGAAGCGGGAAGAGCGGGCTGAATGGTGACAGTGGCCATTCGGTGCGTCCCCCTCACAACGTGGCTGCAGGAAGTTACACAGTTCACCTGGGCGCTTAGGCGGTGGCACAGTTAAACCGAGAGTAAGACACACACGCATTCGGCTCTGTGGAGGAGAAATAAACTGGAAGGCTCTCTGAAGGCTCAGGGCCGGGGGACAGAACTGAACGGGGGGGGGGGATCTCAGCAGGATGTGTGAGTGCTCGAAAGCAGATGCTTCTTCCCGAGAAAAGTGGGGAGGCCGGGTGTCCATGCAGAAAAGGAAAGGCCTTGCAAGAATGGCTGCAGCCCATCCCACGCCAGACGGCCAGTCGCAAAGTGCACGTTAGCCAAACCGTCATGCCTGCCCCCCCGGCCCCCCGGCACACAAAGGCGGCTGCCACTCACATGCAGTGCAAACCCATGCCAAGCGGAGCTCCTTCCGGGGGCAGTCGGAGAGGCTGCCATGAGCAGGCGCATTGTGGGGAGTGGGGGCGAGTGGGGTTGGTTTTGCTGTCCTCTGGGGCAGAGGGTGAGAAACAAGCTGCAGAGGAACCGAGAAAGGGCCACTCCGAGGCACGGGGCAGGGTGCCGCCAGCACTCACGGCCAAGGGCTAACGCTTCCCTTCCAGCTAGAGGGAGGGCGACAATTCGGGGCCTCGTGGGCACAGGGGCTGCTGCACAGCCGGCTGGGGCCTAGCTGCTTTCACAGCTGCTCCATGCTGGGCTTGGCGTGAAACAGGGACGAATTCTTCCCTGGGCAGCTCTCCCAGGTCCCTGTTCCGCCACTATCCAGAAGCAGCCTTCCCCAGTCTGCCGCCCTCTGGCTGGGCTGGCTGGGGATAATGGGAGCTGCAGCCAACACGCTTGGAGGGACCGAGCTGGGAAGGGCTGGTGTAAAGGGATCCGCTTTCAGGCACCTGCTTGTCTCTGACACAAACCACAATTCTTAGGCACCGACTGGGTTTTCCTGCTCCCCACATGGCACTCCGCCCAGGCAGATACAACAACGGTCCCCAGCTAACAGGCTGGCACCGAAAGGCAGGCCGCCGCTGAATCATGGGTGGTCCTGCTGTGAGAACCACGTGGTATGGTTTAAATCTGGGTTGTTGATCCTAGGAAGAGGCCAGGGTTTCTTGCTGGGTTAACTCTGGGTTGTGTAGGCCTTGCGACTCATAGTTAAGCCATGTGATTCGACAACAGCCCACAAGTCAATCCATGCTTTTGGCAGTGGCTGTTTGTGAATTGTCCCACTCAGTTTCAGAGACTGAAATTGTGCATCCCCGGAGCAATATGGACCCCTGGTTGTCCTGGCCTGCGGGAACCGAAGCCCAAGACATCTGAAGATCAAGGGTCAGAGACCGTCCAAGCACAGGATTTCCAGACTTGGACTGGGTGGTGGGTGGGTGGGAAGGACCAGATGGATAACGCCCCCCCCGCTCCCCCCCGCCAAGCTGGAGGCTTGGAGCAGAGGGAAAACCCCACAGCGCCTCTGTCATCTCTGGGAAAAGTCATTTTCCCAGTTCCTTGAGCACATTGCTACCTGCCCTTTGCACCCTCTTTCATGAGAAAAAGGATCTTTCCCTCCTTAACACCTCTTTTTTTTTTCTTTTTAAAGCTCCAGGGGATGATAACCTCCAAAAAACCCACGCAGGGTGTTAGGGTCAAAGGTTGCCTCTGAATGCTTTGATTTTGTCAGGGGGAGACAAGAAGCAAATGCTCTCAGCACACGCACAAACGCACACGCCCTGCCTGACTTACGCCCTGCCTCAGCCTCCCTAGACTTCCTCCTCAGAGCTCGCTCTGGCCTGCAGGGAAAGCGAAGACGTCAGTCAGCCCTTCACGGGAGCAGCGGCTTTGGCGCGTCCGCCTGTTTTATGAGCGTTCCCGGAGGACTTCCGGGCCTCCCCGGGCAGGGAAAGGATGGAGCAGGATGGATTTCGAGGCACCCTGGTTCTAGTGCCCAAAGACCAGTGGGAAGATAAGGAAGAGAGGGAGAGGCCGAGAGACAGTGGGGAGAGGAGGGGGAGACAGGCATGGCCAAACACTCTGCTGTGCCCACAAACGTAAACGAAGGGCCACTTACGAAATAGATGTCCGGGAGGGGCATTTCGTCCTCGTCCGAAGCTTGACTGGCTGGCTCCGAGGCCTGGCTGGCCGTCTCCACCTCAGCCGCTGCCACCGACAGGGCAGGGGCGCACAGCAACGAGGCTGCCTCTCTGAAAGTGAAGGGCAGGTGAGGGGGCGGATCAGGCGGGGCTGCCCCGACGTGTACTCCCCACTCCCCGAGAGTGGGGCTTGAGGGTCAACCCTGTCCCGTTGCTTAGTCTGGAAAAGGGCCTGCCCAACCGGCAAGCTGGACGGAGGGGGTGGATGGATGGGGCCACGGTCTGGCTGCGTTACAGGGATGCCAGATTCAGGTGCTGCTGCTGTTTTTTTTTTTTTAAACCCAACTCGTTGCAAGCAGAATAGCAGCACAGCAGGGAGAAACACAGGTGCGGTTTTGCTTTCACATGTTTGGGGGGGTCCACCCGCCTCACCCCCTTCCTCAAGTCCGGCAGGCGTTCCTGCCCCACTGCAACTCTATCAGCCGCCCCGCAGCAAGTGCTGTGAAGATCTGCAGCATTCCTGAACACCGGCCATTCTGGCTGGGGTTGATGGGAGTTGGAGTCTAAGACCTGTAGGCACGGGGGTGCTGCCTTGATTGTGAGGTAGGCCCTTGGCTTCATCTGTCCAGCACTGGCAGCTGCCGCTCGTCTGGGTTTTAGGCAGGATTATTTCCTCGCCTTACTTGCAAGAGCTTGGGATCGAACAGCCCCCCCCGCCCCGCTGGCAAACCACACCCCAACACGCTGCTGCCTGCGTACAATGCAGGGCAGCAGGGTGGGGAGACATGCTGTGAAGTGCGACCCATCGGAGCCCAGCCTGGGACTCTGAACCAGGCCTCGGCCCTCCGCGCAGAGCCTGGCCGGATCAGAAAGCTGACGGCATGCAGAATGCCTGGCCCAGGCCAGCCTTGGCTGCCACCCGCCGCGGGCCAGGAGGTCCTGCACCAGCAGCAGCAGGCAGGCAGGCAGGCAGGCAGGCAGGCAGGCCGTGTGGGACCAGCGCAGGAGGAACTCACCCCGCGGCGGCCACGTCTGGGACCACAATCTCCACCTCGCACTTGGGCTTTAGCTCCACCGTGACCTGTGGGAGCTCCTCCTCGGCCCGGGCGTGATCACGCGACCTGCACGGCACAGAAGGGCAGCGAAACCCCCTCCCTCTCAGGGTTTTGCACCAGATCACGACCACTTGTCTTTTGCTCAGAGCAGGATTTGGGGTGGCGCTTCGGGAGGGGCTGGGGCGGCGAGGTTCAAGGTGGGCGTGGGTGGAACACAGCCGCAAGGAGCGCTGAGAGCACCGGGATGCGAGGGACAGGGGGTCGGGCTGAACCTCTGCCCGGCCATGGTGACTTCAGGCCCGTCCCCGAACCCCGGCCTAACCGACCTCACAGGGCTGTTGGGAGGATCAGATAGAAAGGATAAAGCAGGATTAGCTAAGCTGGTGGGAGGGAGGTCCTTGCTCAATGGCAGAGCAGAGGCCCTGTGGGCAGACGCCCACGTTCCGCCCCTGCCCTCTCCAGATCGAGAAGGACCGGGGGCAGGCGCACAGACGGCGCTGGGGCTCGGGGAGAACCCACCCACTCCAATGCACTTGGCCAGCCAGCGCTGCGTTTACTAGACGTGTACATTCGCTCTAAACTGCATTCCCCTCTGGGGAACTTTCGGAGGGGGCTGAGGGGTGGGATGAGAAAACACTCTGATTACATAACTAATAAGCAACTTCAGCCATATGGAGAGGGCAGCAGGGATGAGGCACCGGGGACAGGGGAGGGCGGCGGGCCGTTCCCAGGAGACACGGAGGAGGCGTGAAAGCGTCCGACTCACCTTCCGTCCTGCCCTGAGGATTGCGTGCGCCTCCTGGAAGGGAACGGGGGAAGGTCACTTCAGCACAATGATTATAACGCCACACGATCCCTCCCCTGCACCCCTTCGGGGACTGGAACCCCCCTCCTCCAAGCAGCATCTGGTGGAGCCAGGTTAAGCCAGGGCCCAGGGTAGGGGTCCAAGCCCTGAGAAAAGCAACCCCCGGTGAACAACAGAAAGAAGAGATCGAGAAGCTGTGCTTACCTGTACCGTGGCTGTTCTGAGGACTCGGATGGAGAGCGTTCGGGGACCGACAGAGACGTGGACGAGAGCGTTGTCGCGATGGAGGCTGTCGTGGCTTCTTCGAATGATGGGGGAGTGCAAGGAAGCAGGTCTGGCCGCCCTGTCATGCCCGTGAGGAGGCAGGAGAGAAGAGAGCCCTGAGTAGCGACGGGGAATTCTGCCAAAGCACACGGAGGGCAGGGTTTGACGGTCGCACAGCTGTTCCTCACTCACTTCCAGATTGTGCTCCGCTCAGTGCACAGCAAGTGACCCACAAGTCTCGAGGGGAAGCTGCTTTCCCAGGGGAAAGGCAGCTGGGCCTTACGGAGGATGGAAATGGCCCAGGAGCCGAGGCGAAAGGCCTCCTGGGGGACCGGGGTTCTCCTCTGCCATGCTAACACCGCGAACAGCTCTGCCTTGGTGTCAATGACTTGCGCATGCATGTGCGCGCCATGTGCCAAAAAGAAGCCTGAAGAACAGAGAACTAGATGACTTCTCCCTCCCAGCCAGGACCAGGTGCTTGAGGAAAGGGCCTGAAATATTTGTGTGGCACCGCTTGTGTTTCAGGACAGAGGCCGCCGAGCTATTTCAAACTCCGTGGAAAAAGCAGCAAAACGATCTCCTAGCCCTCACGGTTGCAAAGCGAATACGGAGCACATGAAGACATCCAGCGCTGCTGAGACACACGCCGACAGGGAACGCCTGAGAGATCTTGCAGCACACCTGAGATTTTGCCCTTCCCTCTCGCCCTGCTCACTCCCTCAACTTAAATCTTTCCAGGGATGGAAGGTGATTTTAATTCTTAAGATGGGGTCTCTATGGTCAGAGGAGGAAAAGAATCCAGTCATGCCTCGCCCCATTCCCACAACCACCACTACCGTGTGCAGTTCTCATGTTATGCGAACCCAGAAGGGGCGGCCTCCAGCTTGCTGCCCAGGGCTCATACAAAGGAGGTACCGAAACCAGCTCTGCTGGTGTTGGACAACCTGACAAGCCACCTATGACATGGGTAACCATGGAAACAAGGTGCCGGATGATTGGCATGTGTGAGGCAGGGAGGAGAAGGTCCTGCGGCTTCTATCCATTCCCCAGTCCTCCAATCCCAGGCAAGGACACCCTTTCCTCATCAAACGGGCCACAACTGGGCACCGCTCTAGCTCTCCATCGCCCGCCCTTCCTTTCTGCCTCTCCAACAAAGCAGACATCCATTCCAACAGCGTGTGAAACACATGCACACAGGAAAGGCACCACCTGCCTCCTAATTCACACACCCAGAAGACGGCCGGGGAAGCACAAGTGGACTGCAGCTTGCAAGGAGAAAGGCACAGAAATTCACAGCCCGCCCCCCCCCCTCACTTTGCTTCCTCTCGTGCGGCCGGTGAAGCCCCCGTCTTGAGATGCTCAAGAATGATCCCTAACTGAATGAGGCCTTAGAAAGGACGGTTTGAAACGTGCTGGCTGTTTTCGGGAGGATGAGGTAGCCCCGCAATTCAAGGGCCCCTCCAAGCCAGTCCCAAAGGCCTGCAGGGGAAGATTCCAAAGAAGTACATGGCTGCATTTTGGGCTGGAGTCCTTCAAGGAGCGGAGCTTAAGATCAGATGCCACCACACTGTTTCTTTGCCCACCAAAGACACGGAAGGCCCCCAACTCCTCCGGGCACCATTTTCTATCCACTAACCGAGGGAGAAAGCGGTGTTCTTACCTTCTCCCCGGTCGTGATTAACTTTAGCACCTGCAAAAGCACAGCAAGAGATTCAGGGAACACCGTTTACGGGATGGGGCCAGGATTCTGGGCGGGGCTACTCGCACTAAGCGGGGAGAGGCCAGGGGGCTGGAGGAGTCTGGGGGGGGGGGGGTTCCTAGGGTGGCCTTCCCCAGCCTGGCGCCCTGCAGCTGTACAGGATAACCAACGCCTCTTGAAGCCGCCAGGCTGGGAAGGCGGTACACCAGGCACCGCCGGCATCCGGCGAGGCGAGGGTTGGCGATGTGGCCTTACCTTCGTCATCCAGTGTGGGGTAGCTTCGGGCTCCCCGGAGGTCATACTGGGCCTCGTCCTTCTCCGAGGGGATCTGGCTTGCTGAAAATGCGGCCATGGGCCCCGGCGGCTTGATGGCTAGCAAGGCACTCCGCCCTTTCTTTGAGGGGGACGCTTTCAATGCTGCAAGGGGAGTGGGGTCAGAGACATCGGAAAGGCTCCAGGTTTGGAGAGAGACGGCTGGGAGCGCAGGATTCAGAACCCGCCCCACAACCCCATGGCAGGGGAGCACCCCTCCCCGCACAAGCAACGGTGCACAGCGCTGCCTTCTTGAGTGATGATGTTTGTACCACGCTTTCCCACAAGTGTTGCCAGGGCTGCAGGCAGGGAAGCGATAAAAGCATGCCGGAGCGGCCCGTCCGAAGGGAGGGAGACCGACATCTGCACCAAGTGGGGCTGAAGCGAGTTGTGGGGAGGGGGAATGATCGCTGCACAGGACTGTGCCGTGGACCAGGTGAGGGCAGCAGGTGTCCTGTTGCCCCATTATGAAAAAACGGAAATGAAATGAAATGAAAATGAAACGAATAAATAAACAAACCAGCCAGCCAAACAGCCAGCCAGCCCTCTTCTTTGTGGCCTCTGAGGGCTACAGAGAGAGGAGAGAAAGCGCAATCAGTAACTGGGGATAGCTGCACACTTACACGAGCTCTTCCTGAACACTGTATTGGTCATGAACTTGAAGAACCTCTCAGCGTAGAAGCTGGGCCGGTGGACCGACACTGTATCCTAGAAAAGCAGGAGAGGAGACGGGAATGGCACCCAGGGCGATGTGCACGGGAGAGGCATTTGCAGCAAAGCTGGGCCTCAAGGCAAGGCAAGGCAAGATGGCCGTGCCTCGGCTTCGCCCACACGCCGCTGCATGTGAAGTTTGGGATGCCGCCTGCTGCCTCGCCTTGTTTGGGAGTGGCCTTGCGGGCTTCTGCAACGAGCTTCGGCACCGTTGCAGAAGCGGTGTTTATGGAGGCCGTGCCAGCGACTGCACTGGGCTGTACGGCAGGCTGCAGCCCCAAAAGCTCAGTCCGAAATCAGATTGGGGGTGGGGGAGGAGGAAGAGGAGGAGAGAAGGAAGCAAACAGCGATGCCCTGGGAGGAAGCCCCAGGTTCAAGGACAGAACGGGAGACCGGGCGCGCTTATGCTTGTTGCGATGATTGGAATGAGAAGAGAAAGAGGCGGCACCACCGCCCAAATTATGGGCAACGCAGCTTTAAACGTAAAACAGCACCAGGTCACAGCAGGTGGCATCCCTGCCTGTGTGCACGGGGGAAACGCATCCACGGGCCTTGTGCCCGCTGCGCCGTACGGATGCGTTCCTAGGACAACCAGAGAGCCCTGGTGCCCTCTCGGAAGAGGCGTTCTCTCTTGCAGGAGCGCAAGAGGGAAAGCCTCTTCTAAGATGGTGCCGGCTTGTGGTAGTTCCTAATAAGCACCTGTAGTAGGAACGAGCTAGAGGACGTGCATGTTTCGCCCAGAAGGCACCAACACGGAAGAGGCATTCCCTTGCAAATAAGGGTAAGGGGAGAACCTCTTCCAAGAGGGTGCCCGCCAATGGCAGTTTTTCTCTATTTAAGCACCGTGGTGGTAATATTCCCCTCAACCATCAGATGGGAAGGAATGCCTCTTTCAATATGGCGCCATGCTCTGCTGGTGCTGCACACCACGTCTATCTTTGGTGCTGCACGATCTGCCCATCAGCAATCAACCAATCAATCAATCAATTTTTCAATTTATGCCCTGCCTTTTTCCTACAAAGGGCTCAAGGCAGCTTACATCATTCTCCTCCTCCATCTTCTCCCCACAACAACAACCCTGTGAGGTAGGTTGGGCTGAGCGTCTGTGCCTGGCCCAAAGCCACCCAGTTGGCTCCATGGCCGAGCGGGGACTCGAACCCGGATCCTCTGAGTCCCAGTCCCATGCTCTTAACTACTGCACCGCACTGGCTCTCTTCCTTAATTGCAGGCGATGAATCCGGCTGTGCCAAATACTTTCTGCCATCATAAAATAGCCGAGCTGGACTAGAAGCCATCAAAAAGATGGATCACAAGGCAGAAGGTTCCCTGGAATTAGACAGGACTCTGTTCGGATGGACAGAGGTTCTCCAGCATCTCAGGCCCTTTCCATCATCTGCAGGCCAAATAAGACCATTTTCCCACCGCTGCATGGCCCCCCACCAATGGTACGTGAGGAAGGGGTCCTCAGCCATTCTGGACTCATCTGGGAACTCAGGAAATGGTTGTGGGCACCCCCGAGAAAGGCGACAGCCCTTGGAGAGCACCAAGGACCCCCAAGAATGCAGTTGGGGAGCCGTGGCAGCAACCTCGGTCGCTCAGCAGCCTGCCTAGCGCAACTCACCCCATCATGGACGAGCGCCTTCCACGTATGTTCAAGCTTCTTGATGAATCTGGATTGCAAGTGGAAGGGGAAGATGGAGGACAGCAAGCGAGAGGTGTGTAAACAAAGGCGGCATTATCCTGAAACTCAAAAGCCCAAATTCCCTGTCTCTCTGTAAGACACGGGGTGGAATTCTAAGGCCTGAAGAACGCCTGCAGGCAGACCCCCTCCCATTTCCCCACTACCTGTGTTCTCCGCAGCTTTTCCCACAGCTCATTCCTCGGTGGCCGAAAAGGAGCCACCCACATGAGGACAGTGGCTGTGTGTGAGCCTACAGGCAGCAGATTCCCCTGCCCACACGCAGTACCCGAACTGGCATAATGGACCGCTTCCAGGGCCGAAAAGGGCATGCACTGCTCCCCTCAGGAAACCCCCTGCACTGACGGTCCCAAGAGACCCCAAAAGGCCTACCTGTAGGACTGGAGGATGTCGATGATGCCCACGTGGAGGAGCAGGCGTTCCCCTCTGCCATTCACGGCTGGAATGCCGCCCATCCTGAAGAGGAAAGGCCGAGCCGGGCTGGTCAGCACCCCCTTGCTGGCTGACGCTGCGATAATCCCGCACGCCAGAGGCACAGACCCAGAGTCACTCTGCTCCGTCCATCGCCTCAGGTCAGAACCATGCGCCCGCTCAAGCTTTCCCCCAACCAGGCATTGAGCACAGACATGAACCAGGGAGAACCCACTACAGATCTACGAAGACGGGCCTGTCCTTATGTTTTAGATACAGGAGAGTGTGTGTATTTAGCACGTATATATTTGAATCGATTGCTGCCAGCCAGCTACCTTTACAGCCTGTTTTATTTTATTTATTTTTATTAAAACATTTTTATGCCGCCCCATTCGCCGAAGCCTTGGGGCGGCTTACAACAATAAATTAAAACCACATAAATTAAAATATACACATTAGAATAATAATAATAATTTGATATATATATATGTATATGTATATGTGTATATTTATATGTATATTATATGTATATATACACACACAATATAAAATAAGCCGCCCCGGCCAGATAAATAACCATCTGCTTTACTCAGCATTGTCCGAATGTTGAATGGGCACTCAAATTGCTATACCACCTTTATATCCCGCCTTTTATCCCTTGAGAGAAACCCACAGCAGTCCATAAAGCTCCATTTAGGCCCCATCACAACCCTCTGGGAGGTAGGGCTGGGCTGAGCTCCTGTGGGAGGGCCGAAGGCAGCCAGCGGCATCTGTGGCCGGGCGGGGGCTGGGACGCAGGTCTCCCAGGCCCCCAGTGTGCCACGTGGCCAGCAGGCCCTGTCAGCTCCCGGCAGCACATCAAGAGCTGGCCGAGAAAAGGCTGAGCTTCGCAGCAGCACCGCCATGCGGCACGTGACCAAAGGCTTTACGGGGCACAACTAAAACCCAAAGAAAGAAACTGGATCTGCCACGAGATGGAAAACAGGTCAAGGAAAACGAGAGACAGGCAGTGCGTTCTGGATCAGCGGAACGGCTCTCGGTCTGGCTCGTCCACCAACCGCTGCAGATTGTTCAGTGATTCACCTTCTCTTGCATCTCTGCCTCTTCCGCCAGGGGCCAGGTGCTGCTCGGACTCAACACCCATCCGCCCCAGCCAGCATGGCCAACGGCCAAAGAAGGGCCCTGCAAGGCCTGAACGCCAGCTATACTTTCAGGAGCCTGTTTGTGCCCCATGTCCTGTGCAGAGACCGTTTTGGCCGCTGCCTGGCCTGAAAAAGGAACGGCTGGCTCCTCACAAACCGAAAAAGGCCGAGGCTGCAGGCCCGGCTTCCCTTTCTTTGTTCGGGCCCATCGCTCCGCCCTCCCGCGGCATCCGCAAGTCCTCTCCCCCGCCCGGGAATCTCTGCAGCCTGGGGATGAGACAGCCGTCCTCCCTTGCTCCCCTGCAGCACCGCCGCCCCCCTGCTCTGGGGAGTCCCGCCCCCAAGACGGGCGGTCCTGCCCATACCGGCTGCTTTCGCTTGCCCCTGTGGGACTCACGTGTCATCCGTGTCGATGGGCTCCCCCCGGGCCGCCCCGCCCTGGATCGACTCCATGGCGGTGGAGTACAGGGCTTTCTGCCCCACAGGGCGCTTCTCGTCGGACATGCTCTGGGCGCCGTCAGCTTGCCGCTCCCGCTCCTGCTGGTCTATATTGTGCACTCCCAGGAGGAGGCTGTAGTCCATGATCTTGAAGCTCTCCAGCACCTGGGGTGGGGGCAGAGAAAGGGGGCGAGCGGGGGGTTACCGGGGAATCGCTCCGATCCTGCTCTGGCAGTTAACTTCGGCACACGAAGAGCCTGAACGCGGGGGGCCACTTCTATTCAGGGAGGGGCCCAGTGGGCAGCCCGTGCTTGCCTGGGCTGGATGCCCGGGGTCCGTGATGAAAAGGACTGGGCAGGAGACGTGGGGAAGGATTTCACCCAAGCCCTGCTCAACAGGTGCCTCTCACCGTGGGCAGGGGGGACACTCAACAGCCCTGGCGCAGGCAGGGTGAGGCCCCCTGGACTGACAGCCCACCTTGCAGCTGCTGCCGCCCGTGAGCTCTCCTGCAGGGCACGATGGGCTTCCCACACTCCCCGTGGCAAGGGCCGGCAGCCCTTTGGAACGATCGGGCCACAGAGGGCAGGGAGAGCCGCTGGCCGGGTCTCATAAACTTGGCGAGGGTGACGCGTGCGAGAGTCGGACCTCCTCTGCGTGGAGCAGGGGTCTGCGTTCCAAAGGGGGGCTGGCGAGCGCTGCAGGCTATCGCGGGGGGTCCGGACTCCTTCCGCTGGGCTCTCCCCGGAGCCGCCATCCACCGCGCTTGGCCTGGCGCTCCCCCTGCAGGACTTACCAGGCAGTCCCTCTGCAGCGTCTTGACCACAGCGCTGAAAGTGTCCGTGTCCAGCATGATCCCATCGGGCATGTCCTGCATGAAGTCCAAGTCCTTGTAGGTGGGGCTGGACTTCTCCTTCTCCTTCTTGGAGGCCCGGCGCTTGTACGTCGAGCCCTTGAGGTCGTATTTCAGGTGCATCTTCACCACCCGGGGCAGGATGTTGTTCATCACCACCACCCGGATGTTTTTGCCCCCAGACTGGACGCAGTAGAGGCCGTAGAACTTGGGCAGTAGCGTCCGGGGGTTCTGGTTCAAGTTCTAGATAAGAGTTCCAAAAACAGAATCAAAAGAAAGCCACAGGATGTGCTTCCCAACAAATTACACAAGCCACAAGTGTGCAATCGTGGTTCTGACAGGCATTTTCAGCATCCTGGCCATCTCAACTTCTACTGTTCAAGTGTGAAGTTTCTGGTCCTCATGCATTTATTTTGTTCCATTTTTATCTCATTCTGCAGTGGGAAAAAGGATTCTCAGGGTGGTTTACACAGGATGATATTCACTATCTTTGTCAAATTGCCAGGGAGTTGTAACAAACAGAGGAATAAAATGCCATCCCTGAGTTCAGACACAGCCGACGAGAGCGAGTTCCAGCACATACCATGTAATAACCTGGAAGGAGCTTCTGAAGGAACTCGGCCTCTTTGTGCATCACTGTTTTGATAATGAATTCGTCGTCGCTGGTGACGTAAAACAGGGAACCGCTGGCTCCAGGGTTGGACAGCTCTATCAGCGGCTCGTTGCACAGGGAGTACTGGGGGAACAAGGCCAGAAAATAAAGCCAGGGAGTATTGGGGGAGCAAGGCTGACGCAGGGGGATCGGCAGACATGCCGGCGGGCCCTCTGCCCACCGTAAGCCAACCCCCAACCTCACAGACACTGTTTGCCGACACCCCCCGCCAGACCCTGCTTTAGATTTCGGAAGGGGAAGGTGGAAAGCCGCTCTTACCAAATAATCATCAGGACGAATGCCAAAAAGCTCTCGGAAGTATCGAAAAGCTACTGGAGCGTAGGTTTTGAATCGGAAATCCGGGTAGTGGTGTGCGGGGGTGAGGTTGCTGCCTTCACTGCATCGTGGGGGGGGGGCGGGGGGCACATACACAAACAGTACCGGTCAGGTCCTCTCCGCACTGTTGCCAGCGACAGCATCTCTACTTAAAGCACCACAGCGAGCTGTGACACCCCCCGCCTGTCCACCACAGCTCCTGGGAGAGGGAGCGGTCCCAAGCCCCAGCCCCGCCCAGAGATGCTGGCTGTGCCAGTGTCCCCCCCGCCCGGCTCCAGTGGCCCCACCTGGGGAAGAAGATGCTCTCCACCACGTAGAAATCCTGCATCAGGACATCCCTCTCGGGCTTGGAGCTGAGGTTGCCCACCGTGTAGCCGATCCCGAGCTGGATGGCCCCTTTGAGGGTGGACGACGTGGTCTGTGGTGGATAAGACAGGAGACTGGTGAGAGGGGTGGCGACAGCACCGTCTCCCCCAAACTGAGTTCGCGGGAGGACGAGGAGGAGGAGGAAGGAGGGCACACGGAATCTGCCAGAAGCTGCCTTCCCACTTCCCTTGCCCCACCGCCTGTCTGTGGTGCTGTAAGCTTTTCCCACTCCAAAAGGCGGAAACAGCTCTAAGATACGAGGCGAGACACAGAAATAACTGGATTGTGTGTAGGGCTTTCCTGGAAAATCGTCTGGAGCTCGGCTAGACGTACAGCATAGAACCGTATCTCCTCCTACACGCCCTCCCAAACCGCCGGCTGGCCAGGTATATCCTACGAATAACCCGGTCAGCATTCTAATTGCACCCGCTACACGTGTTGCCGCGATAATATTGGGGGGGGGGGAATCAAACAGCGAATCAACATCGTCCTCCCGCGCACAATGCTTTTCCGTAAAGCAGTTTTTGAGTAGAAAAAACATTCCTGTCTTCGATCATTCTCCCTCCTCACCCGAGTTCACTCCCTGTGGTTTTTACTTGTTCCCAAAAATCAAAAGTGACCTGAAGGGAACTCGTTTTGCGTCAGTGGATGAAGGCAAAATCATTACCCCACATAACCCCAGTCCTCCACCAGCTTCACTGGCTTCCGATCAAAGTCCGGGCTCAATTCAAGGTGCTGGTTATCACCTATAAAGCCTTAACGGCTTGAGACCTGGATACCTGAAGGAGCGCCTGCAGCCATATTTGCCCTCCCGCCCCTTGAGATTGGCAGCAGAGGCCCTCCTCTGGGAGCCCTCCGTGAAGGACATTAGGAGGCAAAGTACCCGGAGGAGGGCCTTCTCTGTGGTGGCGTCCCATCTATGGAATGCGCTCCCCAGAGAGGTCCGCCTGGCGCCGTCGTTATTTTTTTTCTGGCGCCAGGTTAAGACCTTTTTATTCCAGCGATATTTTAATAGGTTTTAATATTGTTTTTTCTATATTTTTAATTGCAGCCAGTGTGGGCCAGGGATTTTATTTATGTTATGTCTTATTTTATGTTGTAAGCCGTCCTGAGGCTTTTCGCGAATTAGGACGGCATATAAATATTTTAAATGAATAAATATAGAAGGTGACAATGTTCAGAATGCTGCAATTCATCAATAAATATATATTTTTATTACTAATCTGGCTATTTTTGTGTCACACCTCGTATGCTGTTGTCCTTGCTGTTTTGGCCCCTGCTGGTTTTGTCTTCGGTCCTGCCTGGCCCTGGGAGAACCTCCCAAAAGCGGAGTTCTGCCACGAGCAGAAAAGAATTAGATTCCTCTGCTCCAGGAGAGCGTACCTTCTTGTATGTTGTTTCCCCCGAAGCATCGACCCCTCGGTGGCCTATCTTCTTCCCCTGGCCAGCCCCCGGCTGCCCTGTCAAAGATGGAGCCTGCGAAGGGAAGACAGTCAAGGTGAGCAAAAACCAGCAAGGAAAGCCTGTTCCTGACCCAGGAAAAGTGGAGGGAGGGCGGCATCCCGCAAGGGACTGCCATGGAGCTCAGCTCTGGAGCAAGTCAGTCCTTGCCCGTCCAGGGCCGTAAACACAAAGGACGCAGGAGACGTCTGTGTGAGCTGAGTTTACTGTATGAGTTTCTAAGCTTTGCATGCGGCACTCTTAGACTGAGGGGCACTAAGCTGCCTTGAAAACGTATCCTGGCATCCAGAGCGGAAAGCGCACAGTTTTGATCACAGCTAAAACCCAGGTGGATCCTTCATGGATCACTGCCTTGTTGTGGCGAAGGGGCTTGCATAGCTCAGTGAAGCTATGAGCTCTGCCATGCAGGGCCACCCAAGACGGGCAGGTCATAGCAGGGAGCTCTGACAAAACGTGATCCACTGGAGAAGGAAATGGCAACCCACTCCAGTACCCTTGCCATGAAACCCCATGGACAGCCCCAAAAGACAAAAAGAGATGACGCTGGAAGATGAGCCCCTCAGGTCAGGAGGTGTCCAATGTGCTCCTGGGGAAGAGCAGAGGGCTAGTACTAGTAGCGCCAGGAAGAGTGAAGCGACTGGGTCAAAGCCGAAAGGACACTCAGCACTGGATGTGTCTGGTGGTGAAAGGAGAGTCCGATGCTGCAAAGATCTATACTCCACAGGAACCTGGAATGTAAGATCCATGATGGAAGAGGAGAATGATGTAAGCTGCCTTGAGCCCTTTGTAGGGAAAAGGCAGGATATAAATCGAAAAATAAATAAAATAAAATAAAATAAATCAAGGCAAGCTGGACACGGTCAAACAAGAGATGACAAGACTGAACATCGACAGTTATTTATTTAAAGATTTGTATGCCTCCCATTACTGTCGTCTCTGGATGGCTTACAACATTATTTCAAACTACAATAAAATAAGATAAATTAACTATTCCACACTGAGCATCATTTAAAATAAATTAAATTACTATATGTAAGTATTAGCCAAATAAAAAGGTCTTGACCTGGCACAGAAAAACATATAATGATGGTGCCAGGCGGATCTCTCTGGGGAGCGCATTCCATAGTTAGGGCGCAACCACAGAGAAGGCCCTGCTCCGGGTACTCTGTCTCCTGAAATGCAGGAAAGCAAAATGGCTGTCTGAGGAAGCTTTACAAATAGCTGAGGAAAGAAGGGAAGTGAAAGGCAAGGGAGAAAGAGAAAGCGACACCCAATTGAATGCAGACTTCCAGAGAATACCTAGAAGAGATAAGAAGGCCTTCTTAAATGAACAGTGCAAAGAAATAGAAGAAAACAATAGAATGGGGGGACCAGAGATCTCTTCAAGAAAATTGGAGATATGACGGGAACGTTTCACGCAAAGATGGGCATGATAAAGGACCAAAATGGCAGGGACCTAACAGTGGCAGAAGAGATTAAGAAGAGGTGGCAAGATTACACAGAAGAACTATTCAAGAAAGATCTTAATGTCCCTGAAAACCACGATGGGGTGGTCACTGACCTCGAGCCAGACATCCTGGAAGGTGAAGTCAGATGGGTCTTAGGAAGTCTGAGCAACAACAAAGCTAGTGGAGGCGACAGTATTCCATCTGCGCTATTAAAAATCCTAAAAGACGATGCAGTAAAAGGGCTACACTCAATATGCCAGCAAATTTGGATAACACTACAGTGGCCACAGGATTGGAAAAGGTCAGTTTACATTCCGATCCCAAAGAAGGGCAACACCAAAGAACGTTCAAACTACTGCACCATTGTGCTCAGTTCACATGCTAACAAAGTAATGCTCAAAATCCAGGCTCCAGCAGTATGTGGACCCAGAACTACCAGAAACCCAGGCAGGGTTTCAAAGAGGCAGAGGAACTAGAGATCAAATTGCCAACATACGCTGGATCATGGAGGAAGCTAAGGAGTTCCAGAAAAACATCTACTTCTGCTTCACTGACTATGCTAACGCCTTTGATTGTGTGGATCACAACAAATTGTGGCAAGTTCTTAAAGGGATGGGAGTATCGAACCATTTTATTTGTCTCTTGAGAAGCCTGTATGTGGGTCAAGAAGCAACAGTGAGAACTGGACATGGAACCACTGACTGGTTCAAAATTGAGAAAGGAGTTTGGCAAGGCTGTATACTGTCGCTCTGCCTATTTAGCTTATATGCAGAGCACATCATGAGAAAGGCGGGGGCTAGATGAATCACAAGTTGGAATTAAGAGAAATATCAACAACCTCAGATATGCAGATGATACCACTCTCATGGCAGAAAGTGAAAAGGAACTAAAGAGCCTCTTGATGCGGGTGAAGGAGGAGAGTGCAAAAGTTGGCTTAAAATTCAACATTAAGAAAACTAAGATCATGGCATCCGGTTCTATCACTTCCTGGCAAACAAATGGGGAAGAAATGGAGGTAGTGGCAGATTTTATTTTCCTGGGCTCCAAGATCACTGCAGACAGGGACTGCAGCCAAGAAATTAAAAGACACTTGCTCCTTGGGAGGAAAGCTATGGCAAATCTAGGCAGCATACTAAACAGCAGAGACATCACCCTGCCAACAAAGGTGCGTACAGTCAAGGCTATGGTTTTCCCAGTTGCAATGTATGGATGTGAGAGTTGGATCACAAGGAAGGCTGAGCGCCAAAGAATTGAGGCCTTTGGACTGTGGCACTGGAGGAGACGCCTGCGAGTCCCTTGGACCGCAAGGCAATCAAACCGGTCAGTCCTAGAGGAGATCAACCCTGACTGCTCTTTAGAAGGCCACATTGTGAAGATGAAGCTCAAATACTTTGGTCACCTAATGAGAAGGAGGGACTCCCTGGAGAAGAGCCTGATGCTGGGAACAATTGAGGGCAAAAGAAGAAGGGGATGGCAGGGGTTGAGGTGGCTGGATGGGTCACTGAAGCTGTCGGTATGAGCTTAGGTGGACTCCGCGGGATGGTGGAGGACAGGAAGGCCTGAAGGAGTGTTGTCCATGGGGGTTCTAATGGGTCGGACGCAACTTCGCAACTAACAACAACAACACCCAGGTGGAGACCCAGGAGGCAGCCAACAGGGCAGGAAACGGCAGCTTCAAATTTCCCTCCCATGACCAGAAGACCTTCCAAAATAAGCGGATTCATTCGCCAAGCCAATGTGCTTAAAGACCCCGGACTGACGTTCTGGCAAAAACCTGGCCGAAGAGAGGCAGTCTCCCCACACCTGTCCCAGGAGGAGGTGTCCCTAAGCATCGTCTAGGTGCCAGTGGGAGAAGGCTTTCTTTCGAGGCTCCAAAGCTCTGTCCAGAGCCTTGGTTTCTAGAGAACTGAAACGCACGGGATCAGGATGGTTGGCACTGGAGCGAAGGAGGGAGAGGCCAAGGAGGTGGGGCTAGTGGAAAAGAGGTTCTGTTTATGATCCTGGGAAGTACAAGCTGAGCAAAAAGCAATGGCGCAGCGGGAGTAACAGCTGCCAGATGGCTTCATCCATTCAATCACGGTATTTTTATTCTGTGCTTCAGCCAAAAAGGTTTCTGGAGCAGCTTGTGTGCAACTGGTAAAACAAGACAGTATCTACGCACAGGGTTATAAACTAAAGAGATACGACAAACGAGGAAAGAGGGATGGGGAGTGAAGAGGAAAAAGGAAAGTTAGGAGGAAGACTGAAGGAATGGTCTGTCCTCTCCTCTCCATTTTCCCATATAAAAAGTATATAACTAGGCACTGCTAATGTATTTAAAGGATACCAAGAAGGCGATCATCCAGAAAAACAATCTGAAATGTCATATATACAAATCATGGCCCCAGAAGGATTACAATAAACCAGACGACCAAGAAGCAACAACTGGATCATGGAAACATCTGCAATTTTATCGCTTTGATGTATTAAGTTAGTTTTGGGTGCCACTACGGAAAAGCCCCCACCCCCTACCCCCAATCCTAGCTCTTCTGGCTAGATCAGGGATTGGCAACCTTTAACACTCAAAGAACCATTTGGACCCGTTTCCCACCCTAACCCTTTTGACATCTAAAATGAAGATAACACTGCATATATCGGTTTTTACCTTAATGCTATGTATATCTTCATTATGATTTAGTTGCAGCTCTTGTTCTGTCACTAAAAACTGTTATTTTTAATCTTACATTATATACTAGTAGGACTCCTTTGATATATTTTGAATAGGAGAACAGCTTCCTGCAGAGCCAAAGTCAGTGCTAAGGGGCTGCATGCATTAAAGAGCAAACCCCATAAGTTCGTAGCAGTAAAAGCAAATGAATCTACCCAGGTATCATTAAATGTTGGGTTTTCTTCAGAAACTTTTCTTCGATTTATCCATGGCTGGCCTACTGGGAGAAGTCGCAGATATAGGTGTGTTTAGTGACTGATTAGCAAATAAAACAGTCAAGTGCTGTGAATTGTGACAGGTCCCAAGCTTTTAACATTCAGAGGAAGACTGCACTGGGACAAAGAGAATCTTTTCAGCAGCGTTTCGTGTAACATGAGAGCCTGCAGGAAGCTTGTTCCGCTCTTTCCCTGCACAATAGCAGAGGAATGTCGTAATTTACTTAACCCGCTAGCCAGGCATTCCTGAGTGGATGCCTCATCATCACCTATCAGTATTTTGTAACTCAGAGCCTCCGTCGCAGATCGGTGGCTGTGACCCGTATTTTGGACGACGGAGCCGCCGCAGAGGGATTCAAGAGCCACGTGCGGCTCCGGAGCCGTGGGTTGCTGACCCCTGGGCTACATCCTGGGCAATTTTGCAGCATTTCCTGACAGAAGCAACAAAACTCACCTCGGTTAGAACAGCCTTCTTCACAGCCAGTCCTGGGAAGAGAAAAAGGTTATAGTTAGGCAGCGGGGCAGTGGGGGGGGGGGGGGGATGCATCTCATAGCATATTCTTTTGAGAAACCACTGAACCAGGTGTGGGGAGACACGGCCTCCCTCTGTCCCTTGCCCCCATAGAAAGCTCTGCTCCAGGTTTAAATCCCCGTGTTAAAAATCCGAGCCACCCAAGTTCCAAGTGTTTCATCCTTCTCCACTCCCCCTCCTTCTAACGCTGCAACCCTACACTGCAACCCCTTAACCCTATCTCTGGGAGTGAGTCTTTACTTCTGTGCAAACACAGAGCTGCTTGAGCATCTAATGATCATTGACTTATTTAAAGCTTTTCTACCCCGTCCACCACTGACATCTTGGGACGGCTTACAATAAAAGAACAAACCAAACAAGGAAAAGCACAAGCAAGCAAAATATCAACTGGGACCAAAAGACAGGCCACTCACAGTAACTCAGCAAGGGTTTCTGTCCCCAACAGCTCAAAACCTGAAAGCCCCCCACCCCTCCTCTAAATTAGACTGCCAAGATCAGTAAGAGAAGAGGAGCGGTAGACAAATCTATGGGAAAGCGTGTGCTTGAGCTCATGTCTGACACAGACGCCTAATTACTCGGCTGTGTGCGTCCACGAGGACACCTCGTCCCTCAATTCTGAATGGAGTGTTCCAAGCCATTATTCTGCAGCTGGTTTCAAGTGCTGGAGGCTGGGCTCCTCGAGGCTGAAGAGAAAGGTAAAAATACTTTCTCTATGACAATCATGTTTATAATCCTGAATTTTACCCTTTTCCTCTAGCCCTTCTCCCCTTGTTTTATCCATTGATTAAACCGTAACGTCAACAATAAGCCGACACACATTTACTAGCATTTAACTTTTATTTGAACTAGTCTACATTTGCCCGTTGGCCACAGAGAATGAAAAACTCTCTTTGCTTGCTTCTTGGCAGCCCAGTTTTAAACATTGCCTCCAACCAAAAGGGCTGCCGGAGGAAGTCTATTTGGTTTCTGTGTTGGCTGCAGAAAGGAGGCAGAGAGACCTGTCCCTCATTAACCAGCCTTCTCGAACGCCTGCATGGAATCTCTGGTCACCCAAGGTGACCAGGTTAGTTGTTCGACTCGTACAGCTCTGTTGGGGACCGTGGTTTTAAACTGTGAGGCATTTTGAGTGCTTCACTCACATGGTGAGTGCAGGAAAGCAAATTAACAGACAAACTGAATTTCAGCATCCCTTTGATGTCACGGATCTTGCCCTGAGACACCTCACAACACATATAAATTATGCATGGTGAGCAAATTTGCTAAATTTCTCTTGCCATTTGCATATTTAGACTGCTGGCTGGGGAAAGCTAGGATTCCTTTTTTTTTTTTTTTTTCTAGGTCACTGTGCATGTTTTCAGTGACCATCCCTCAGTGGGAGCAGCAGACCTCTGCCCAGGAAATCCTTATTTTCAGCAATCCCATCAACTCTTTAAGACCGGGAGTGTATCTTTGCAGCTGGCTGAGGAAGAAATATGGATTTTTGAGAGAGGCAGATTTTCAGCAAGGTGGACTTGGCACACAATGCCTCGCACCAAGCCACACATCCAAGAGAAGAGCTCACATATGCGATCCTCATCAATATCCAAGTAGGAAAACCATTAGACCCACCATCCACGCCCTCCCATCTTGCTAGGAGATACCAGGGGAAGCTGTGCTGACTAATCTCTTTTCTGCATTCTGTCAAAATTCCAGAGCAGGGGATTAGCTTCAAGCTTCAGTCTTGCAATAATTACCACAAGCAGCTTTGCCTTGCAGCTTCTAAATGCCCTAATCAAAGCTCCTGGGCAGAGCATGGTCCAGGTTGTGGGGGGGAGGTGGCGCAGAAGGAGGGCCAAATCAGCCGCCCCAGGAAGAGAAGAAAAGCACAGCAGACGGGGTCTTGGACATGCTGGCACTTGAAATGTGCGACAGAAAATCTGATTTGGAAAAGCGGCCTGGGCAAAGCAAAGAAAGTCCTTTGCTGGCTAGTGCCTGGGAGCATTACGGCAGCGCTAATCTCCTAAGTGTGCTGCCAGATGGCTTGGTAAGAAAAACACACCGCACAAACTAATTTAACTTCCACTCCAGGGCGCCACTGGACCACCAGGGAGAGCAACACTTATGACTAGATTCCCCCCATGCTAGCGTTGCCTACCCAGTGCCAGGACTGCACAGGCGAGTGTTCGCACAACCAGAAGGCACGGGGCAAAGGCAGCCCTGTAGAAAACCCTCTGACCGAGGGGCAGAAAGGAGGGCCTTCTTGCACACAGCAGTGACTTGACTTGGCCTCCTCCAACCTGGCGCTCCCAGACGTTTAGGATGAGAACCCAACCTCTGGCATCCCAAGCGGGCTGGGCTGACGAGAGCTGAGGCCCAACACTTCTGGAGAAGTCTCTGCCTGGGAGGGCTGCCCAGCTCCACCCCCCATAAGAAAAGCAGCTTAAGGGACACGAGCAACCAATCTCTGGAATGAGACTTGAGACATGGAGGGAAATAGCTCTCGGGCCTTATACAGGCCAGCCCAAACGGCTGCCACACAGTGCCATGTCTGTGGGGCTGTAGGAGTCGTGGTTCAACGTATCCAGAGGACACCGGGTTGGGGTGGGTTGCTAAAACAGAGCCAGTTCTATCCCATGTGGCTTAAAATCAGGATAAAGGTTTATCCCGTGACATGTATTAAGAGTTCAGCGGCTTCTCAGCATAATCTTCTCTCTGAAGCTTTTTTATTCAAGGATGGCTACTTTTAAGATCAGTTACAGAGGCTGGGAATGTGGTACCCTTTGAAGTACAGCTCCTTGGCTACGGCTGATGGAGGCTACAGTCCGAAATTTCTCTAAGTCACAGAATATCCCAGAATGTTCCGGAAATGTTCCCCAACTCCTGGCCCTGGGAGCTGCTGGCGGAGAGGAGGCACAGCAATACCCAAGAGAAATAAGAAACCCATGGAATAGTAAACCCACAAGCAACTTCTGGAGCCCCTGTGGGACACAGCTGCATCCTGAACGACAAAACCAACAATCACCCGTAAGAATATATCGACAAGGCACCCATGAAAGAGCCCGTTGAGGATAGAGGTGCTCATGTTTCCCCATGTCTCTCATCTAATCCACTCTCGCCCAAACAGAAATGCAGAGAGACACATGAATCAGGGAAAACAAGCCACCTTGCTAGCCAGTCTTGGCAACCACGGGTATGAAGAGAAACACTCGGAAAGAAAGACGTGCTTTTGGAGCAGTCTTTGGCTGATGTATCGGCTCATGAATCACAAGGGGGGGGGGCTAGCGTTAGGGTTACACGACAGCAAGGACGGGGGAACGTGCCGACCGATAAAAGCAGACAGAACGTCACCTCCCCAGGTAGCTGCACTGCAGAGGAAAGTGTTGGAAATAAACAAAAACTCTTCCTCGGAGTGGAATCCTCAGAGGAGATGGACTGGAACGCCCATCATTCCCAGGCTGAGGAGGCTGTTGCAGGGTTACCCTTCTAGGTGCATGGCTCCAAGGAGGCAGAAAGATACTTCTGGACCAGTGCGGGCTGGTCCCCCACTCTTCTTGAGCATGATCTTTGGTAGGAAAAACCGCCCACCCCCTTTCAAGAGGCATCCAGGTGAGAGAGAACAGAACTGCGAGGAGCGAAGGCTTGCTTGGCAGCATGACAGGGCTGCTTCAGCAACGGGGCGTCCTTTCAGGTTGGAATATTATAACACAGTGACAGACGATTTGGGGAAGTTCTGGTCGTCTGTCTAGGATGCGAACAGCTGGGCTGGCTGCAGCCCTCCAGGATCTAAGACTGAGCAACCCTCCCCACACAACACACCTTCAGACGGGCCACGATCACCCCCAGGCTCCAAACGGAAGCCAGCAGGCATGACCGAGTCTGGCAGCAAGAGATCGTCCGTCTCACCACCCCACGTGGGAGGGGAACCGCAAGCCGAACTCCCTTTGGGTCACAGCCCCCGGACGGTGCCTGCTGTAATACCTTGTTCTGACCCAGTTCCTCGCCTGGACAGCTCCCCTCCCCAGTGCAGCAGAGGCTGTGGCCACTGAATGGGCTGCTGGACAGCTCCCCGGCACATCCCTTGGAGTGGCTCCTGCCCTGCGTTTTATGCCTCTGATCTGCTTTTACTTTTCGTGGCGTCCTATGTTAGTGCTTCCATCCTCTCTGCTCGCCCTCCTAGGTATCTCGTGATGAAGGTACTTTGAACAAAGATAGATACACAGCGCTCGAGAATGAGACACGGAGAAACGGCCCCGAGACCTTTGGCGACTGGGTGCATTAGGAATGCCACACGTAAGCAAAAGGTAAAGCACATGCATTTGTCTGGAGGGGACTGCGCATGAGCGTTCCTCCGTTTGTTCAGAAAACTGCTGGGTTGAGCCTTCTAAGAGTTCGTTCTGTGACAGATGAGATCTTCCCGGAGCGCTCAAAACTGCCGAAACTAAAGCCAAATCAAAGCGAGGAAAGGCAGCAACAGCGGGCAAGGGGGATAATTCTGTGAAGCGTCCGGGGAGAAACAGGCACAAGTCTTTGCCTGCATTTCAATCCTAGATTAGGACCCCCATCCACTCCCTTTCTTCCTTATGTCACGGTGGCAATTAACAAGGAGGTGTGTGTTTTATACCTGTGCCTATCGAGCAAGCCACACGCCACTGCCTATCAAGTCTCGGAAAGGAGTTCAGCTTTTAAAAAGGAAGCTGCCTATGAAGAGATCCTTGAAAAACTCTTAGAAAGGGTCCAGTGGAGGGCAACAAAAATGATCCAGGGTTTGGAAACGCTGTCCTATGAGGAGAGACTGAGGGAACTGGGCATGCTCAGCGCTGAGAAGAGAAGACAGAGGGGGGACATTACATCCCTCTATAAATCCTTCAAATTTAGAGGATTTAAGGCTATCACAAAGAGGAAGGCCGAGGTTTCTTCTCACTGATAACAGAATGTAGGACACGGAATGATCAAGTCCAGCTGCAGCAAGCCAGAT